CGTCGATAGGCTTTATTAATTAAAGCTTTACTCTGTATAAGGTCTTATAGCCCACTAAGTCTATTAGATCGTATATTTAACTAGCTTATAAAAGGCTTCCGCCTCACAATATAAGGTACTATCTTACTCGCCAAAGAAAACCAGGAATTACGCGCCGAAAATGAGAAGTAGAAATAAAAGCGTACTCGATCCCGAAGGTAGATACCTACCGAAGAAGGCCTCTCGGTTTAAGAAGCTTCTTAGGTGATTACTAGGATAGTGGAAGTAGTGGAAGTACCTATACCCCCACCGTAAATAAGCGACTCGCCGGCTTTATAGCCATATATATAGGCCCCACTAAGGTATAGTGGGTGTGGAAAAATAGGGTATACAATTAATAGGTGTATAGGTAGATAGATGATTTTACTATATTTAATTTAATGGCGTTTTAGTGGTGTTATATATATTTAAATTTAATATATAGGTTTTAGGGTGGCCACTCGGTGGTAGTGGCCACTCGGTAGTGAATTACGTTATAATATTGTATTATATAAGATATAGAAAGGATTATACTTAGCTTAAATAGATAATGATAGGTGAGAGGTAAGAAAAGTTGTATTCCATTTATTATTTTCTAGCTAGGAATCCTTCATTCCTTATATAGGCAAGCTCTAGCAGTATAGAATATCATAGAAAGTCATTAATAATATAATGACTTCGTTATGATGTCCTAGATTTATGGCGATATATTGTGAGTCATACTATAGTTTACCGTAAATAATATATCTAAGGTTCTCTTAGATACTACCGGTAAAATATATCTCTTATGCTCACACACCATAGTATATAGATATATCTTACAATTACTATTATGCTTACACACCCCCTTAATCCTTATAATCTTTATAAGGATTACATATATAAGTATATAGTATATATATATATATATTATAGGTCTTTATATAGTACCTAGCTTAGCTAGATCTATAAAAGCCTTATACAAGATATTATTAACATTCTTTGTTAAAAAGTCTACTAGTATATATTTAGAAGGTATTTGATTAATAGTGATTTTACCTTCTAATAAAGCTTGCCTTGTGAAATGATATATTATTTCAATATGCTTTGAACGTTTATGGAATTCTGGATTCTTAGCTAGTTTCTTAGCTGATTCACTATCAACTAAGATAGTAGGTATACTATTTGTATATCCTAGATCTAGCTCTATATTTAATAAATTAAATATATTAGCTAGATATATAGCTTCTTTAGTAGCTTCTTTTAGTGCTATATATTCAGCTTCATAGCTACTAATTGCTATTGTTTTTTGTAGTTGAGAATTCTAACTAATAGGGTTATTAATCCCTATATTAGGGCTTAGGCTAAATATATAGCCTAACGTAGATTTTCGTTGATCTAAATCATTACCCCAATCAGTATCAGAATAGCCCTTTATATATAGGTTATTACCTAAGTAATTATATACTAATCCTATATTAGGATATACTAGTAAATATTTCTAAATCCTATTTAGGGCTATAAAATGGTCCTTACTAGGATTGCTTATATATCTAGCACAGTATATAGTGACAAAGGTTATATTAGGCCTAGTTTTTAGGGCTAAATAGAGTAAAGACCCTATTTGTTTCTGATATTCTTTAATATCTTATGGGCTTGTATTTGTAGTATTCTTTTTAAGCTTTAAACCCGGTTCACCTAGTGTTTTAATAGGCTTATAACTAGGATTATTATAAATAGAGAACTTATTTAATAGTTTCTCTATATATCCCTTTTAGTCTATATATAGTATCTTATCTTTATAGTTAATAGATATACTATTACCTAGGAATGTAGATACTATACTAATTTCTTCTATCTTTATATAGTGCTTTATTTTAGCTACTATATTATAAATATAGCTTAAATCTTTGTGTATTACTAATATATTATCAACGTGACAAATTAGTATATATTAATCTTTAGGGTTTATATATATACCTTTATTGTATATAAAGACCTTAAAGTCAAATTTAGCTAATATATTAGATAGATATTTATACTAAAGCCTAGGGCTTTATTTTAGACTATATAGTGCTTTCTTTAGATAACAGCACTTATTAGGGTTATTATATACTCCTATAGGTAGGATAGTATATATTTTAGTATCTATATTAGTATATACAAAGGCATTTTTAATATTATATTATAGCACGTGCCAGCCTTTATTAACTACTATTATTAATATTAGATACTAGGACTCAGTTCTATATATAGTAGAAAAGGTTTCTAGGAAATTAATACCTAGTTTTTACTAAAATCCTTCAATTACCTACCTAGCTTTATATCTAATAGTTTTATTACTATCAGTTATATAGTCCTTATCCGGATTAGGACTATTAATAGGTTTTTTCTTAAAAACCTATCTACCCTTAATAGGTTTTATATTAGGTGGTATATCTATTATTTTATAGGTTTCTTATTTTTCAAGTTCTTTGACTTCCGCTAAGCAAGCCCTAAACCATTTATCCTTTTTAGGACTATTTATAGCTTTATCAAAGCTATTAGGTTTAGTTAATAGTGAAGCGGTTAATAGAAACCTATTATTTATATTAGTCTTAATAGAACTAATATAATTAGTTAGTATAGTATCCTTAATAGTATATAAAATAGGTATTTAAACTTCGATCCTATATTTAGGGTCGGTATTAATTCTAGAGGTTTCTCCTCTAGTTAATACTCTATTATTATTACTTATATTGTCCTTAATAGGACTATTAGGATCTATACTAACTTCCCTAGAATTTAAGTTTTTAGGACTAATTAACTTAGTCCTATAGGGTTCTATATTTCGAGATATTTCTTTTAGGAATTGATTTTCACATATAGTAATATCCCTAGACCATAGGTGTTTTTACCTTTTATAGTCCTATATTTTATAGTGATTATAATCACTATATCCTATTAAAATAGCTTCTTCCTTTCTAGGAGATAGCTTAGTCTTATATTTATTCATATAATAGTAGGCTCAAGAGCCCTAAGTCCTAATATTAGTTATATTAGGCTTTACCCTATTTAATGATTTATAAGGGGTTAAAAATCCTAAAGCCCTATATAGGGTCCTATTATATATATAGGTTATAGCTTGGAGTGCTTCTCCCTATAGATAATTAGGGCTTTTAGACTGAATAAGCACTGCCCTTACTTTATTAAATAAAGTAAGGTTAATTCTTTCAATTAGCCTATTAGGTTCCTTAGTATAACTAGGAATAGTTATATAACTAATACTATATTTATTTAGGGCTAATTAAAATTGCTTATTAATATATTCTCTGCCTTTATTAGTAAAGAACTGTTTAATCTTTCTTTTTGTATGATTTTCTATAAAGACCTTAAAATCTTCGAATACTTGATAAGTATTATCTTTAGAATATAATAGGCTAATCTAAAGATATCGAGATTTTTTATCTAGGAAGGTGATATAATACCTATGTTTATTATAGGTAGGTGGTAATGGACCACCTAAATCACTATATATCCTATCTAAAATATCAAATTTAGTAGGATTATTTGACTTCCTATATATATATCTATTATCTTTAGATAAAAGATATACTTTACATTTTTTATTAAGGAAAGCCTTAATATATTCTAGGGTTATATTAATCCCTAGGGCCTTTAATAGAATTTTTAAGGGCTATATATTAATATACCCTAGTCTAATATACTACTTTTGTATATTATCCACTATATTACTATCTATAGTCCTTTTAGGAATATAGCTATTATTATTATTACTATTAGTAGGTATACTAGGTTGATCAGTCCTAGTAGCTACTATAGTATTTATAGTTCTTTATAATACAGTGGTTTTTATATAATATAGATTATCTTTCTTATTAGCTATAGCAACTATTTTCTTTAAAGGTGTATATAAGTATACCTTATTTTTCATAAATAGGGCTATTAAATCAGATAACTGGTGTATACTAATAAGATTAATACCTAGATTAGGTATATAAAAAACATTTTTTAATAAGTATATATGTCTAGTATTAGATTTTATATATATATCACCCTTATAGGTTGCTTTAATAGTATTAGCTTTACCCCACTTTACTATAGTAGTGGTAGGTTCAGTAGAAGAAAGATATTGCAATTTATATACAGTACTAATAGTGGTAGCACTATCAAGAATGAAATCCACTTTTTCTTTTATAGGATTTAATCCTATATTATCTAGTGGTTTTTTAGTTAATAGTTTAGTACTATACAATAATAGAGGATATACCTCTTCTATATTATTATCTATATCTAGTAGTTAATTATCAGTTTGATTATTAGGCTGATTTTTAATACTAGTATATAGCTCTTTGTCTGATTTAGGTAAATTAGATAGATTAGATAGTATATCTATATCTTTAGTAGATTTAGGGGTATCTACTATATTAGATATAATCCGATCTTATGATTCTAGCTATTTAGGAGTCCTAGGGCTTATTGAATTTATAGTTTTAGCCCTAAAGGATTCCTTAGTAGTAGAAATAGGGGGTTTAATAGTCTTTTTAGCCCTTTTACCTCTTGGAATCTAGCCCTTAGGAGCTAGATTAGGAAATAATAGCTAGTAGGTATTAATTAGCATTATAACTAATAACCTTATAGTGTTAGTAGTATTTTCCTTTAAAAGGCTTATTTTTATACAATTTATAATACTTATATTTAAGTATTATAATATTCGTATAATTATAGAGCGAAGCGAAGTAACCTATATCATAAAGGCTTAGGTGTATATCACGTGACCTTACTCCTATATAAGGTCTAAATCTATAGGATTCTAATACGGTGAAAAATGATTGCTAAGAAATAGTAGAATAATTCTGCTAGGCCTCTGTACTAGAGGCTTAGTACTAAAAGTTCTTATTACGTGATATAACCTAGCGAATCTAACGTATTCGGTAAGCGAGCGGCCACCCCTTCTAAAATCGCGTCCATGAATTAGCACTTAGTCAATTCAACCACCCACTATGCCACCGATTCGCTCTCAAAGCTCTCAAAATTCAATCGAGCAAGAGGGTAGGGTCTTATTAGCTATCTAGGCTTTTAAAAATGGAGATATCAGTTCTATTTCTCTTGCTGCACGTACCTTTAATATCCCATGTTCGACTCTTCGCTACCGCCTAAGTGGTATACAAGAACGCGTAATTTCTCGCGCTAATTTATATAAACTCTCTGAAATAGAAGAGGAATCTCTTTAAAAATAGATACTCTCTATAGATTCCTATAGATTAGCCCCCTAGCCCTCTATAGTATAATAAATAGCGAATCTTCTCCTCGAAAAGTGTAGAACTACCCTAGTTATTTTAGTTAGCGAAAAATAGGTATATAACTTTGTGAAATAGTATCCTCTTCTCTCCTCCCGATTCTTAAAGCGGTATAATTACGAGTGTGCGAAATATAAAGACCCTAAGATTATTACTAAGTGGTTTAATCTAGTTTAGAAGATAATCCTTAAATTTAGGATTAACCCCGATAATATCTATAACTTTAATAAGACTAGTTTTGTAATAGGCTTAATAGTAACTATAAAGGTTATTATAAGGAGTGAATACTACGGTTAGTGATCACTTTTATAACCTAGAAATTATGAATAGGTAACTATTATTGAGTGTATAAATACTTTAGGTTAGGTACTCCCTCTATATATAATTTTTAAAGGTAAAGTCTTTATTAAATCCTAGTTTAATAGCCTTCTAGATAATTAGCGCTTTAAAGTTAGTCTTAATAGTTAGACTTCTAATAAAATTAGACTTTACTAGCTTAAAAAGCTCTTTATTCTAATAACTTTATTGTGTATAAAGGGGAGATATAGGCTTCTTATACTTAATAGTTATAGAAGCTATTTAACCCTAAAGTTCGATAAACTTTGTGAGAAAAATTAGATTATACTAATCTATATACCTCTATATTTATCTTACCTTTTATAGTCTCTCGATATTAGCTATTTTATAGTTCTAAAATATATATAGTTAGCTAGTTAAATCGAAAATATAGGTTAGGATAAATTATATCGATAAACTTAACTTCCTTAAAGTATACCCCCTTATATAAATTAAAGTATTTAAATTAGAGACTATTAAAAATAGCTTTAGGGTAGCTAGTTTAGTCCCTTTTAAACTAGAGAGAGTGATTTCAAAGCTTAATATTTAGCTTTAAACCCTAACCCCCCCCTAGCTAGGGTAGTGATTTAAGCCAGAATTTTACCCCAAAAACCCCTTTTATAGAGAAAGATCTACGTCGATAGGCTTCGTTAATTAAAGCTTTACTTTATATAAGATCTTAAAGTCCACTAAGTCTATTAGATTATATATTAAACCAGCTTATAAAAGGCTTCCGTCTTATAATATAAAGTACTATCTTACTCACTATAGAAAATAAGGAATTATACGCTACTAATAAGAAGTAGAAATAAAAACGTACTTAATCCCGAAGGTAGATACCCACTAAAGGATGTCTCTTAGTTTAAGAAGCTTCTTAATTAATTAGTGAGATAGTGGAAGTAGTGGAAGTACCTATACCCCTACCGCGAAGAAGCGCTTCGCCGGCTTTACAACCACATATATAGGCCCCACCAAGGTACAGTGGGTGCAGATAAATAGGTCATAAAATCAATAGGTGCCTCGGTAGATAGATGATTTTACTATATTTAATTTAATGGGGTTTTGGTTGAGATAAATGTAATTAAATTTAATAGGGTTTAGGTAGGTGGCCGCTCGGTTACAGTGGCCGCTCGCTTACCGAATACGTTAAATCTAGATATAATTACGTAATCAATATATAGTCACTAACGTATTCTATATATAAGCTACGTATATAAGCGAGCTATATAGTTTAAAATATATAGTAAATACAATATATTTTATATTTATATTTTAATAACTATATTATTATTTTAGCTCCTTATTTATCGATAGCTATTAATAAGACTTATTAGCACTATATCTTAATTTTAAAGATATTAGATAGGTATATTATTATTCTTTTAAAAATTACCGAAAATTACGTTACTAAAAACTAGAAATATATATATCTTAATTATAAAGTTATAAACTTCCTTTAAATCCTATAAAGAGACTAGATATTACCTAAAAAGTAGGAGGATATAGGGAGAAATCTTATAGACTATAGTGGTTAAAATATTAAGTTATAATTTATTATATTTACTATATATTTGGGACTACGTAGCTCGCTTATATACGTAGCTTATATATAAAATACGTTAACGTATTCGGTAAGCGAGCTAGATATATAAGCGAGCTAGATACCCCACTAAACCTATTGAATTTAACTATATTTTTCTCGACAAAAATACCCTTAAATTTACTTAATTAAATTGATTTATCTAGCTAAATACCTATTGATCTTATACCCTATTCCCCTATACCTACTATACCTTAATGGGGCCTATTAACGTGGTTCTAATACTAGCGAAGCACTTCTTATAGTAGGGGGGGGGTACTTTAGCTACTTCTATAGGCTTAGTAATTAATTAAGAAGCTTCTTAAACTAAGAGGCCTTTATCGGCCTATATCTACTTCTGGGATCTATTTCGCTTTTACTTCTACTTCTTATTTAAAGCGCGTAGTTTACTTACTTCTTTCTTAAGTAAAGTAGTAGACTATATAGTGATTTAATAGGCCTTTAAAACCTATTTTATTATATTGTTTAGCGGACTTAGAGGACTCCTTAACCTTATATAAAGTAAAGCTTTAATTAACAAAGCTTACTTTTATAATTATATATAGTTTAAGGGCGTTTTTAGGTCCTAATCGCTTCCTCTACTTAGAGGGGGTATTAGGGTTCGGATTTAAATATTAAGCTTTAAACTCACTTTATTAGGTGAAAAAGGTACTAAACTAGCTACTTTAAAGCTATTCTTAATAGTCTCTAGTTTATAGGCCTTAATTTATATAAGGGGGTATAATTCAAGGAAGTTAAGTTTATTAATATAGTTAATCCTATATCTTATTTTTATCTCTACTAACTAACTATATATATATTTTAATACTATAAAATAGCTAATATTAGGAGGCTATAAAAGGTAAGAGGAATATAGAGATATATAAATTAGTATAACCCTATTTTACTCGTAAATCTTATCGAATTTAGGGGTTAAATAGCTTCTATATCTATTAAGAATTAGAAGCCTATACCCCCCTTTATATATAGAGAAGTGCTAGGAATAAAGAGCTTTTTAAGCTAGTAAAGGCCTATTTTATTAGAAGTCTAACTATTAGGACTAACTTTAAATCGCTAGTTATTTAGTAGGCCTTTAAACTATAATTCTATATAGACTTTACCTTTAAAAATAATATATAGAGGGAGGGCCTAACCTAACGAATTTATATACTTAATAGTAGTTACCTATTCACGATTTCTAGGTTATAAAAGCGAGCGCTAACTATAGAATTCACTCCTTATTATTACCTTCGTAGTAGCGATTAACCCTATTATAAAACTAGTCTTATTAAAGTTATAAATATTATTAGGGTCGATTCTAAATTAAAGGATAGTATTTTAAATAAGTATAAACCACTCTTAAATAATCTTTAGGTCTTCGCACTTTATATATTCGTAATTATAGTGTCTCGAAAATTAGGAGGAGAGGAGAGGATACCGTTATACAAAGTTATAGGTCTATTTTTCGCCGACCGAAATCACTAGGGTGGTTCCGTGTTATTAAAGTAAAAGATTCGCTATTTCTTTTATAGTAGCAGGCTAGGGGGCCGCTCTATATAAATCTATAGAGAGAATCTATTTTTAAAGAGATTCCTCTTTAATTTCGGTTAATTTCGACGAATTAGCGCAAGAAATCGCGCGGTTTTGTACCCTATAGATATAGGTGAAGAGTGTTAACTTCGGTATATTAAATTAGCGTGCTACCTTACGAATAGAGCGAATTTCTTATTTTTTAATAGCCTAAATAGCTAGTAATATCCTACCCTCTTACTCTATTAATTCTTTTGAGCTTTAAGAGCGAATTAGTGGTATAGTGGGTGGTTAAATTGATAAAGTGCTAAATTATAGACGCGTTTTAAGTGGGGTGTCTAGCTCGCTTACCGAATACGTTAACTAACTACTAATAAGTCACTTCGCTTCACAAGGTCTATCTAGTGGCCGAAGGCCACTAAGATCCCTTATAACTACCTTTATATATAGAAGATTCCCTACCCCTAGCTTTATTAATTAAGCTAGAAACCAAGGTTTCCACTATATATAATTTAGGGTTATTTCTTAATAATTAGGTTATATTTTGAATAAACCCTTTATAGTTATTATTTAGACTATTAAGAACCTAGGCTATCACTACCTAATTAGGTAGATTAATACCTTTACCCTTAAGGTTATCTACTAAGGTTTTAACCTTATTAAGATATTCTTCTATTAAATTAAAATCAATTAATCTAGTATTAAAGAAATCTTTTAGGGTTAAATATTTAGTAGTAAAACCCTTAGGGTTATATAGGGCTTCTAAGCGAAGCTAGGCCTTATTAGCACTCTCTATATCTTTTAGATATAGGAGGGGCCTATTATCACAATAAAGCTTTAAAATAGATATAGCCTTATTGTTTTTAACACCAATAGGAGTTTCTATAGGTGTATAGGTTATCTTTTATTAGGGCTGCTTTAACCCTAATAGACCATATAATATAGTTCTCCGAGCCCCTAAGCTTAGGGAGATATATCTTATCCAGGGAGGCTATAGTAAGATATATTATAGATATCGGAGATAAGATATATACATATAATATACTAAATAATAGTATACGTATATATATAGCTCACTATATATAGTAATATATACTATATATAGTAATATATACTATATATAGTAATATATACTATATATAGTAATATATACTATATATAATTGTGAGAATATATCACTATACACTTAATAGTATATAGTAATATATACTATATATAATTGTGAGAATATATCACTATACACTTAATAGTATATAGTAATATATACTATATATAATTGTGAGAATATATCACTATACACTTAATAGTATATAGTATACAAGGGATCTTGGTGGCCTTCGGCCACTAGATAGTCCTTATAGAGCGAAGTGACAAGGTTTTTACCTAGTTAGGTACTGGTTTTTTTTTATATAATCACTATCGTATTTAGATTTAGATAGTTTATATCATATGATAAATAATTCTAATTACTAGGCTTAGTGTATATCTACTACCGGCAGAATCATTCTACCATTTCTCAGCGATAACATTTTCGCCGTATTAGAACTCTATGGATTTGGACCTTATATAGGAGCAAGGTCACGTAACATATACCTAAGCCCTTATAATATAGGTTACTTCGCTTCGCTCCGTAATTACTATATTTAGTATCTTACTAAATATAGTACATAGGGTGCTAAAAGTCTGTTGACACTTTTTATTTCCCCCCACACCACCAACCTATCATCTTTAATCAACCATACCACCACCAAAATATATGCTTTTAGCACAGAAATTAGTGGAAATCGTGGTGTAAATACTAAGCTTTCAGAATCTACGCGTGCCGCAATTATTTACGCGGTTTCTCGGGGTCAAAAGAAGGCGCACATCGCCCGTGACTTTAGGTGCTCCCGCTAAGCTATATATAACACCATTAAGCGCTTTAAATCCACTAAATCTCTTCGATCCTGACCTCGGTAAGGTAGGCTAAAGAAGCTTACATAAACTACTATCTATCACCTTTATTAGATTATATAGTAGTTCCCTACAATTAGCTAGAATAAGCTAATCACTAAACTTCCGACTAACCTTCCAAAATCGACTATACAGCGTATATTTCGAAAGCTAGGAATTAGGTATTAGAAGTTAAAGAAGCGTATTTTTCTAAAGCCCTTCGATACTAAAAGACGATATAAATTTGTTAAGAATTAGTCGAGTTATAGCGATTTAAACAATATTATCTTTTCCGATAAATGTTCTATATAACGAAAATCGAACTCCTATATCTAATTTGTGTTTCGACTTAAGAATAAAACCTACTAGCCTAATCTTATAAACCTTTAGCTTCATAGAAAACAAATTTTATAGATAGTATAGGGTACTATCTAGATTAGTGGCCACTTAGACTTAGTTATCATAGAAAAGGAGCCTAAATATAGATTTAACGCGTAGACCTATACTGAAACCCTCGAAAAAGGTCTTCTTAGGGTCTACAAACCTAGCTCTATCTTTTAGTAAGATAACGCTTAGATCTATATAGCGAAACTTACACAATTATAGTTTAAAGAGCATAGTATTTAGGTCATGGAATGGCCCCCTATTCACCCAATTTAAACCTAATTAAGAATATCTAGTTCCTATTAAAAAAAAAACTATTTAAACTCTATCTAGAACTCTATATATAGGGTAAATCTAAGATAGATTGGAAGAGATTCTATACTATAATTTAGGTAGTATAGAAAGCTCTTAATTAAGGCTAGATCGACACTTTTATCCAATCTATACTAAGTAGGATCTAGGTGGTAAAGAAAGTAAAAGGCTAGTATACAAAATATTAATATTATCTTAAATTATATATGATTAATAAGTAATTCAATTATTATTAGTGGAGTAATAAAGATTTAAAAATAGGTGGTTAAATAAAAATATCTATAGAAATAGGGAGTGTTCACAGACTTTTAGCACCCTATATAATTCGGAAATTATTTAGGAAAGGCTTAGCGATATATTGGTATTTCCTATTTAGGAAATAAGTAGTAAGCCAGGCTTATAACCTATAAGTACTTTAGTAGATATAATATTATAGCCTAATAATAGGTTATAATATTTTATAAGGGAAGGTATATTAGGTAAGCTTTATCTTATAACATATTTTATAAGCGAGCTACACACATAAGTAAGCTATATACCCCACCCAAAACGCGTCTATAAATTAGCAATCAATTAATTTAACCACCCACTATACCACCAATTCGCTCTTAAAGCTCTAGAAATTCAATAGAGTAAGAGGGTAGGATCTTATTAGCTATCCAGGCTTTTAAGAATCAAGAAATCTCATCAATTCGTGGTATAGCGCGCTACTATAATATCCCTAGATCTATACTTCGGACACGCCTACGTAGGGTCTAATAACACACAACTACTCGCGTAAACTCCTATAAATTGATAAAAATCGAAGAAGAATCTCTTAAGAAATAGATTCTCTATAGATTCTCACAGATTAGCTCCCTATCTCTCTACTATATAAGAAATAGCGAACCTTCTCCTTTGATATTAAGGAACTACCCTAGTAGTTTTAGTTAGTGAAAACTAGATTATAAACTTTATAAAAAGATACCCTTCTCTATCCTCTAAATTCTTAAGATACTATAATTATAAACTTACGAAATATAAAGACCTAAAGATTATCTAGGAGTGGTTTAATCTTATCTAAAAGATAATCCTCTAGTTTAGAATCGACCCTAATAATTGCGGAGCGAAGCGAAGCAACCCATATCATAAGGGCTTGGGTATACGTCACATGACCTTGCTCCTATATGAGGTCTAAATCTATAGAGTTCTAATGCGGCGAAAATGTCATCGCTGAGAAATGGCAGAATAATTCTGCCGGCAGTAGATATATAACCAAGCCCAGCAATTGAAATTATTTATCACACAATAGTGATTATATAAAAAAACCCAGTACCTAACTAGGTAAAAACCTTGTCACTTCGCTCCACAAGGACTATCTAGTGGCCGAAGGCCACCAAAATCCCTTGTATTTATAACTTTAATAAGACTAGTTTTACTATAGGCTTAACTATAATAGTAAAGGTAGTTATAAGGAGCGAATTCTATAGTTAGCGCTTACTTCTATAACCTAGAAATTATAAATAGATAACTACTATTAAATATATTAATATATTAGGTTAGGCCCTCCCTCTATATATTATTTTTAAAGATGAAGTCTTTATTAAATTATAGTTCGATAGCCTCCTAAATAATTAGTGATTTAAAGTTAGTCCTAGTAGCTAGACTTCTAATAAAATTAGACTTCACTAGCTTAAAAAGCTCTTTATTCCTAGTACTTCTTTATATATAAAGGGGGGATATTAGCTTTTAATACTTAATAGATATAGAAGCTATTTAACCCTAAAATTCGATAAGATCTATAAGTAAAATAAGGTTATACTAATCTATATACCTCCTTATTTATCTTATCTTTTATAGTCTCTTAATATTAGTTATTTTATAGTATTAAAATAATTATATAGGTAGCTAGTTAAGTTAAAGATAAGAAGTAGAATTAACTATATCGATAAACTTAACTTCCTTAAGGCGTATCTATCCGCTTAAATTAAGGCTTTTAAATTAGAGACTATTAAGAATAGCTTTATAGTAGCTAGTTTAGTACCTTTTATACCTAATTAAGTGATTAAGAAGCTTAATATTCGACTTCGAATCCCTACCCCCCCTCTAGTAAGGGGAGCGATTAGGACCTAAGGACACCCTTAAATTATATACAATTATAAAAGTAAGTCTCCTTAATTAAAGCCTTACTTTGTATACGCTTATATAGCCCACTAAGTCCCCTAAATAAGGCGATTAATTAGGTCTTAAAGGCCTATTAAATCATAATATAGTCTATCGCTTTACTTAAGAAGGAAGTAAGCGAGCTACGTACTATAAATAAGAAGTAAAAGTAAAAAAGGACTCAATCCCGGAAGTAGATACCCACTAAGTAAGGGCTCTCGGTTTAAGAAGCTTCTTAGTTAATTACTAAGCTAGTGGAAGTAGATAAAGTACCCCCCTTCCACAAAGAAGCCCTTCGCTGGGTTTATAAGTATATACGTAGGCCCTACTAAAGTGTCGTGGCTATAGAGAAATAGGGCATAAAATTAATAGGTGTTTAGCTAGATAAATCAATTTAGTTAAATTAATTTAATAGTGTTTTAGTTGAGATAAATATAGTTAAATTCAATAGGTAGATATAGGTATATAGCTCGCTTATATACGTAGCTTACTTATAAATTACGTTATAATATAATATTATATAAGATATAGAAAGGTTTATACTTAGCTTAAGTAGATAATTGTAAGCATAATAGTAGTTGTAAGATATATATTTTACCGGTAGTATCTAAGAGAACCTTAGATATATTATTTACGGTAAACTATATTATAACTCACAATATATCGCCATAAATCTAGGATATCATAACGAAGTCATTATATTATTAATGACCTTCTATGATATTCTATACTGCTAGAGCTCGCCTATATAAGGAAGGGAGGATTCCTAGCTAGATAATTAATGAATACAACTTTTCTCACCTCTCACCTATTATTATCTACTTAAGCTAAGTATAAACCTCTCTATATCTTATATAATATTGTATTATAACGTATTCTATATGCGAGCTACGTAGTCCCAAACATATAGTAAATGCGATAAATTACAACTTGATATTTCAACCACTATGATCTATAAAGATTTCTCCCTATATCCTCCTACTTTCTAGGTGATATTTAGTCTCTTTACGGGATTTGAAGGAAGTTTCTAACTTTATAATTGAGATATATATATTTCCAGTTTTTAGTAACGTAATTTTCGGTAATTTTTGAAATGATAATAATATACCTATCCAATATCATTAAAATTGAGATATGGTGCTAATAAGTCTTATCAATAGCTATCGACAAACAAGGAGCTAAAATAATAACATGGTTGTTGAAATATAAATATAGAATATATCGCATTTACTATGTGTTTTGAACTGCGTGGCTCGCTTGTGTGCGCAGCTCGCATATGAAATACGTTATAAGATAAAGCTTACCTAATACACCTTCCCCTATAAAATATTATAACCTACTATTAGGCTATAATATTATTTCTGCTAAAGTGCTCACAATAATAATAGGTGAGAGGTGAGAAAGGTTATATTTATTGATTTTTTTCTAGCTAGGAATCCTCTATTCCTTATATAGGTAAGCTCTAGTAGTATAGAATATTATAGAAAGTCATTAATAATATAATGACTTTATTATAATATCCTAGATTTATAGCAATATATTGTGAGTCATAATATAGTTTACTGTAAATAATATATCTAAGGTTCTCTTAGATACTACTAGTAAAATATATATCTTATCCTCACACACCATAGTATATAAATATATCTTATAATTACTATTATACTTATAAGAGGCTTATATCTAAACTAGTAGAGGTTTTTAGGGATAAAGTAAATATACTAGGATATTCTAACTTAGACTTACTTTTATGATTCAGAAAGGATTGTATAGGTTTTATTCCTAGGAGGATCTATCGACTATATACAGGTACATATAGTTACTAAAGACGTAAGTCTCATGTTTGAAATAAGCTTTCAGATCTCACTTTTAATATAGTTTACCTAGATAATTAGCTATATTATATATTAATATAGATAATTAGAGGATATCCTATAGATCTTAAGGATATCTTATAGATATTTAGTGGATATCTATAAGATATCCGTAAGACCTCAAAACTCATTAAGTCTATATTTCGAGAACTTCTATCTCAGATTTCTTAAGTTCTAGTAGTCAGAATAAATCAAAAAAATAATTAGTAGATAGATAGGACTTTTAGCTTTTATTTAAGCCTAAACTTAAAATAATTTATATAATAATAATAGTTTTAATTTTCTATATTCTATTTCCTACAAAGTTTATTATAGTTAATAGTAGGTAAATATATATTTCTATATATAACTTACTATAAAATCGATAATCTACGGCTACCTTTATAATATAACATCGGACTAAGAAAACTATAAGACTACCTATAAATACTATATAAGGAGACCTTCGATATATATCTATTTTATAAAATTTCATAGTGCCAACCGTCGATTTAAGGGGTTGGTTCTATTAGGACTAAATATACGCTTATTTTAGTGGTAAGAAAATATTAGTAAGCTATATTAAGATTATATAATAGGCTATAAGGGGGAAAGTAAGTGAGAGTTATACTAGTGCGGATATCCTTAGATATCCGCAGTCTAGTAGCTACCTATTCAATATTAAGAGCCCTCCACTATCGTACGTAGTACTTAGGATTCCGTTTAAGAAAACGTTTTAGCTAATAATCGCTAATTTATAGGGGATCTATAGAAGGGTCTTAGTGGCTATCTTTAAGAATTGAATTAGTAGTAATAGCGATTTATCGATGATTTATCGAGGCCCTAATAGCGTTAAAGTAATCGATATATTTATATAAAGCCTTCTCTTATTCGATATTTAGTTTCCGACCAGTGGGTTATCGTTAAAAAAGGGATTTTCTACCTTCCTATCGGCGCCGGAGTCGACCCTTAGGGACCCTAAATTCACGCGTAGTTTTCGCGATATTAGGCTTAAATTGATTAGATAGGTACTTAATTACCTTACAAGGGATCTTAGTGGCCTTCAGCCACCAGATAGTCCTTGTGGAGCGAAGTGACAAGGTTTTTACCTACTTAGCTACTGGTTTTTTTTTATATAATCACTATCGTATTTAGATTCAGACGGTTTATATCATGTGATAAATAATTTCAATTGCTGGGCTTGGTGTATATCTACTGCCGGCAGAATTATTCTGCCATTTCTTAGCGATGACATTTTCGCCGCATTAGAACTCTATGGATTTGGACCTCATATAGGAGCAAGGTCACGTGACGTATACCCGAGCCCTTATGATATGGGTTGCTTCGCTTTCGCTCCGCAATTAATCTAATTCTTAATTGATTTATTGGATTTAGGTATATTAGGTGGAGTGGTTGGTGGTTGAAGAGAAAAACTAGGATTTATGAAAAATCTTTCATATGGGTGGCGGACCCTCCGTAAGGAGGGTCTGTAATTTTTGTAAAAAAATGTAAGGGCCGGTTAGGTAAAAACCTTGTCACTTCGCTCCACAAGGACTATCTGGTGGCCGAAGGCCACCAAGATCCCTCGTATAGGGTAAAAAAAATATTAGGATAATATTTTTCTCTATATAGAAGGTGATAAACTTGATGGTTTTATAAGATCTATCATTATCTATTGGAAGAAGCCAAGGCCTCCCCTTTTAGATCCGAGACATAGTAGCTTTATAGAAAGAGAAAAGCTATTGCGGTACCTCTATAGTCTCTAGGTCCAGGGCCCAACATAGTCAAACCTATCACAGATATGCAGCGAGTATTCTAGTGTCCAAATAGGATCCCTTTTATTTAACCTAGTCATCCGGGTATTCATCTTTCATATTACTCACAAACATCCGCTCTCTCTCATCCCACCTTTTGAAATGCTTACCCGCAATGGCAGTCAAACTACTCGGCAATTCCGTGAAGCGAGGCAGTATTATTGCAATATTTTCCTCGGCCACATATCGGACACTTCGATCCGCCACACTACTCATCTATTGTTAGCATCTAGCCAGGGAGATGACACAAGATCCACTCACAGCACATGATAGAAGCTTTGATGCCTGCCAGCTTCTAATCGGTCAATGCCCATTCTCCTCATCCATTGTTCGCCCGCGCCACATTCCGGGTCCCAACCCGTGATAATGGCCTCGTAATGATAGCGACGATGACGGAAGATCTGGCCCACCTTGTATTGGATGTTTGCATTGCCATCGGGTCGCCTCCGAATCTGCTTTGGGATCTCATCCACAGTCCTCATCACATGAAGGCTCTTTAGAATGTGTTCATGCTCGAACAGCCCATGGAACAGAGGAGCAATGTACTCCTCAACTAGAAATATATCAGAAGGAAAGTCTGTAGCGAACAGTTCCATGAGCCATGGCAATTGATGGCGTAAATCCATCTGCCTCGAATCGCCGGACAGTAGCATCACAGACCAGAGTGCTGCGTACTTTGCACTCACAACATCTATTGACGTGGCACGCAAGGTCGTATTTTGTGGTTCGACACGAATGGAGTTCAATATGTTCTTACCGCACCGCAAGATAACGCCTGAAGTTGATGCTTCACCCAAAGTTGTGGTTTGGTCCAAGTCGGACATGCCCAGAAATGTTAATTGAGTGCGCAAATTTGAGACAGGAGTCTCCCTTGCGCCCCGAAACGGGTCCAAGTAAAGGGGCTCCCCTGGCTCCATCCCGTTCAGAGCACTACCATTGATATCTGAGCCCGGTGGAGGCGTAATAATCACATGCACATGGAATGGGAATCCACAGGGACGGGCATTCAGGCCCACCCCCTGCGCGACAAAGCAGTATATTGCTGCCGACACCAGTGGCAGGGAGTTATGCTCTTGACTCTTCAGAGCCACCCCTAAAAAGTTGTGCTCCAAAGAATGATATTCCCGCTCAGGATTGATCCCTGTGAGACCATTCAGCCCTAGCCAAGATGCTACGGCTAGCGCCTTCTCGCGAGGAGTGAAGAGGGAAAGATCCGGGTGAGACGCAATGAAGCAGTCAAGGATCTTATTCAGAGACTCTCGTATCTAGATCAAAGTCAGGTATATATTGTTGAGGAGTTACACTAGGACAACACCTACTTCATCCAAATCACCAGTCCCACTCTCGGGTATGAAGAGATCAAAGCAGGCCAAGGCTCTATCGAGTGACACGGGTTCTCCACGTTTGAGTTTGGCCCATTCCGGTATGGCAATACTTCGGTGCAAGCAAGTTAAGAGCGCGTTGGCATAGTACCTTTTATGATTGGCACAAGGCACTTTGGTCAATTCGAGGGAAACACATGTCAACTTGCATAGAAGTAGTAGCCCACCTTCTGGCCAAATAATCCTCCCCAGACTCTATCAGGCTATATCGTAGAAGAGTATCCTTTGCATCGTATCCCATATTGATTACACGGCGAAACTTCTCGATCCGGCCAGTCTGGCTACCAAGAATACTACCAAGAAGCCGAGTGACAGATCGATCAACCTGATACTTGAAGACAAAGAGCCCTTTCCAATCGGTTGAATTCACTGGGCATGCAAGTTTCCGGGGCATATTATGTCGCCCATCCCAGAACTTGTAATGCGACTGGCAATGGTGACGCCATAGTAACCGCTCATTCGTCACATTTTGAAATCGACTATTGGTTTGTTCGAGGGCAACGCAGGAGTGAGGAGTAGAATAACATAGAATCGAATGCAGGATCTCGTCTGGAAGATGGATTAAAGACCGAACCATCCCTAAAGGTGGAAGATTAATTGAAAGGGCAGGAGAGAACAGTAAGGGAAGAACAGCTTCACATTCCTCAGATAGAAGAAGATCCAATTCTCGTCAAATGAAAGAGATATACAAGAAGCAGGAAAATGGTGAAAACAGGAAAATAGCACCGAGGTAAGAGAGGTTTCCCTCCCCGCCTTTCTTATCGATTGCCAAGCCCTTCATCGTCGATGTTTTTTTTCTTCCCTCTTCTTCTTTACTTACAACAACCTTTATAAATACTCTTATTACCGTCACTACTGTGAGATCCCTATATTTGAAATGAATCAATAACCAAATATTACTTCAAAACAATCGGTCATTGCGGTATTCGCCATTCTCCCCCATTCTCTTTCACACCATGGGCCAATTTCATTCCACTAGCCAGACAAGCTCCGGTGCTTCAGAACAATCAGATCGGAAGACCGATTATTATGAATTGCTTGGTGTAACACGTGGTGCAACAGATGAGGAGTGAGTTGAAAAGAATATGTTGGCGGATATAGAACTAAAACTAGCCCGACCTCTCAGGATTAAAAAGGCATATCGAAAAAAAGCTCTTGTGTTGCACCCAGATCGAAATTATGGGAATGTCGACGAGGCTACCAAGCTATTCGCCGAAATCCAATCCGCCTACGAAGTACTGGCAGATCCCCAGGAACGAGCATGGTATGACTCTCATAGCGATGCATTTTTGGGGACAAATGGAAATACCGAGGATCAACACTCGTATAATGTTCGAATCACGAGAGCCGAAGATGTCCTCAAACTCTTTTCAAAGTTCAGTCCTCGAATGGAATTCTCCGACTCCCCAACCGGATTCTTTGGTGGTTTGCGGGAGCAATTCGAACAGCTCGCGCTGGAAGAAAGATTAGCCTGTCAGTGGGAAAATCAAGATCCTATTGAATATCCATCATTCGGATCTGGTACTGATGATTTTGAGAACGTTGTGCGGCCCTTCTATGCTGCTTGGACCGGATTCTCCACCCAAAAATCATTCGCATGGAAAGATGCTCATCGTTATTCCGAAGCGCCTGATCGACGAGTGCGACGAATGATGGAAAAGGAAAACAAACGTCTTCGCGAAGAAGGCATCCGAGAATTCAATGATGCAGTCAGGTCTCTCGTGGCTTTTGTCAAAAAACGTGACCCGCGTTACAAAATCAATGTCCAGAGTGAGGCTCAACGCCAGGAAACGCTCCGTCAGTCCGTGGCCGCACAAGCTGCAAGATCACGAGCTTTGAATCAAGCCAAGATGCGGGATCATGTACTCCCTGAGTGGGCCCAGTCAGAACAACCGGTGGCAGCTGACGACCAGGAGAAGAGCGAAGAGAGCGAAGAGAGCGAGGTTGAAAGTTTTGAATGTGTTGCATGCCACAAATATTTCAAAAGCCAGAAACAATTTGAGGCGCACGAACGTAGCAAGAAGCATTTGAAAGCAGTCAAGCAGCTATGCTGGGAGATGCGAATACAGAACTATGAATTGGACCTGGAGTCTGCTGATGACTTGGGTGCCAATCCAGTTACAACTCCACCTCTTGGGGTTGATGACGGAAAAGATGAGGTTGATGCTGCCTCACAGGTCGATCTGGGATTGGATGCCTCAAAGAGCCACGACATCGATGCTGAGAATCAAGGGAGTTCGCATGTTCCAGAAGAAACAACTATTTTTTCCGAGCTAAACTCCCCAACGTCTTCATACGATGACGATTATGCCTCCCGGGAATATGTTGAAACGAGACTCCGCGCCGATATGGATTCTTTGTCTACGGGCACCGGAGACTCTAATATACCTGACCACTCGTCATCTCCGGGCCTCACCGAGCAGTCACCAACTCTCAAGATGGGCAAGGCCAAGCAAAAACGGGCAAAAAAGGCCGCGAAGCAAGCAGATCAACCTGGGTTTGTTTGTGCAACTTGCCAGGCTCCCTTCACATCCAAGTCTAAATTATTCGATCATATAAGAGACTTCGACCACGCACAACCCTTGACGGGCTCAGTTGCTAGGAAGGGAAAGAAACACTAGGCTCATTTACCGTTTTCAATAAGATGAAGATCACAAAGAGCACAAAGATATGCCAGGACCTTAACGTCAAGTCTTACGTTTGGATCTCCAGTGGTTTGAGCAAGGCATACGCCAGCTAGAAAATATTATTCTTACGCAAGTCCAAACATCTAACCTAACCCGGCCCGCGAGTTCTTCACGACCTGCGCGACAGGCTGCAGAATGCCCTTGTTGTCGGCGGCACCCAGAGCAGTACCTGTACTCCATCCCATCTTCTCCAACATAGCCCGGCCTCGATTTTCTGCTCCAATTTCCGGGGCAGAGGCCCCAACCACATCGCCATCCATATATGAAGCAGCACCGGACTTTCCACGCTTTGGTTGGGAGAATCTCTGCACTTCCGTGCCCCATGATTTGAACAAACGACGGTTGAACTTCCTCCCGGATAAGAGCTCGTCAACGTTAGATATTGTCTTAGGTGTGTATCGCGGAGTGCGCGCGGTCTTATTAAGAACCGGGAAGCGAGAAAGTCCATTGCCACGTGACTGTGATTTCAGATTCAGTGCATTGGCCAATTCATGTATCAGCTTTCTGCGTTGCTTGGTCATGGGCGGCAGGGACAGGCTATATTGGGTTAGCTAAGTTGATAATAATGAGCAAATGTACAACGAACCTATTTTTAGCGGACATGAGGAATGAGCGAAGCTCGGTCATGAATTCCTCCATGTTCATTTCCTTGGGGTACTTGACCTTCAGGTCTGGGTTCCCTGCTTTTCTCCCCAGTAGTCCTTGGGCTCGGAGCTCTTCCCGCTCCATCTTACGCAACCTCTTTTTGGTTCGGTCGTTCTGCCAGGCCTCCTGTAGCTCGATCTCGAATTCACTGTCGGATAGTATCGGGTCGAGGATGGACTGCTTGCCCTTGGATTTGTTTCGTAAACTGGGCCGGTCAAAGTCCATTATGTCAAACCCGAAATATGGGTCAGACTCAAGAGCATCCGCAAGTGCCGATGCCGATGGAAATGGAGGCTTTCCACGACGGGAACCCTTCTTGAGGGACCCGGAATATCTGTTCGCCAGATCCTCGAGCAGCACGAAATCTTCAAAGTTGTCTTCGTCTGGTTCAGAGACACCCATGTCGTGCTTGTCATCTTCGCTTGACGTTGAAATTGAGTCATGTTCGGTGTCAATTTGTATTTGAGCTGGTGATCTTGGTGATTCGATTTTGAACGCTGTGGGGCTCGAGGCCGACAGATCTAGTTGCATTGCGGCTTTTTCGACGTCAATGCCACCTTCTAGATCCATCTTTGCACTACATGTCACTTCCTCGAGGTATTCGTCGTCGATATTGGCAATATAGTCGGCCAGTGGATCGGTCTCTTCTTTTGGTGGCCATTCTGGTCTCTCTGTGTTGGATGCATGGTAGGTTGTGGGCGTATCGGTAGGGGGAGGGTCCCTAGGCGCAGTGTCTAGTGCTGATGTCGGGGATTTCTGCGTGAATGTAGTAGCCTGCACAATTTCTTGGATCTCGCTCTGATGCGTTTCGATGAGAACGGGCTTTATATTCCTCCTGCCGGTGAACACAACCTCATCCTCGCTCGAGTCGTCGATATCCGATAATTTCGACTGCAGTACTGGGTCCGGGTGATCAGTATAAACAGCTCCTTGTCCCTTGGAGTCAAAGAAGAAGGGAAGCTCGATGTTGGGCTTTTGCTCCGGTATATGGTCGGTCTTTGGGTCCTCCTGATCCGTGTCCAGTTTTGTTTGATCCTCCTCTGCTTCCAATGTCGGTTCCAATGTCGGTTCCAAGCTTCCCGCGCTCACAAAATGAACGGTTTTATGACGAAGATTGCTGTCTGCCCATGATCGCTGGTGGGTTTCAGTGTTCCGAGCTTCTTGTTGCATAGTAAACTGGTGTGGCGATGGGTCTTTTTTCGAGTTAGTATTGATCGACGGAATATGGGCACATTAATTACCTCTGCCCCTTGGAGCCCTCGTACGGGCCTTGGATTTCCCATGACGGGCCATGAGGGATGAATCTGATATGTCGATGACAAAAAAAAAGCAGAGAAAAAAAAATAAGTGACGGGGGAATCTTTTGGCTTTGGGTCGGGTCTGGGGCGGTGACAGGCGGTAACAGGATTCAGTGTTTGGATTTATTTTTGGATCTTATTTCATAGATTCATTTTTCTATGTTGTGTATTTCTTCTTCCTCGATGGAATCTCCTTTCAGTGTATATAAACTATATAGGGTAAGTAGTGTAAATAGAGTACATATAGTATGTGGTGTGTAGACGTATAACATTGTCGGTGACGTCTTGGCTCGTGACTGAAGGCCCCCTCATTGATTCGACTCGTCTCGAGCTCTCTCGACATATTTATCATTCATTTTCCTATTCGGTCTTGCTTGGGGGTTCCCTCTGCCTTGCTTACGATCTAGCTGGGTCGGTCATTTTTCAAGTCACTGGGTTGGGCTTGAAAGTTGGATGGGGGATATATATATATATATATATATATATCCGTACATATACCTCTCTCTCTAATCACCTCCAAATCTTGAATCGCCCACATTCACAACCATACAACAAAGACACCGCAGAAAACAAACACCAACTATGACCGTGGACATGGAAAAGTGCAAACGGATAGTACAATATTTCTGGGACCCGGAACCCAGAAATGATGTACCCGCGGTGTCGATATCGTGCCTGGGCAGGGAGTATGCCCCCCCCGCAACCATTCAGTGACCAGACCAGTGAGTATCTAAGTGATGATTTAGCTTCGAATATCATGTCTCATGTCTCATACAGCCAATACCATACACAACCCAAGAGAACCTGATGCTAGCACGTCGAATGACACAGCATGGCCGAAGGCATTTCTTTCCGATTTTGGATCGAGGATATGGATCACATATCGATCTAATTTCACCCCGATCCCACGAACAAAGACACCAGAAGCAACATCCTCGATGACGCTGGGCGTGCGCCTGAGAAGTCAGCTGATGGACCAGGGGTTTACATCGGATACTGGGTGGGGCTGCATGATCCGATCTGGACAAAGCCTGTTGGCAAATACCTTTTCAGTTCTACTACTCGGACGAGGTGAGAGATATATCCAATATTCCCATATTCCCATATTCCCATATTCCCATATTCCCCGAAGAATCAGATCAAATACAAAGAAACAAACAAACAAATCCAGAGCTAATCAGATGTACTAGACTGGCGTCGGGGGGAGAAAGTGGAGGAAGAGTCAAAGCTAATATCCATGTTCGCCGATCACCCGGATGCTCCCTTTTCTATACATCGGTTTGTAAACCGCGGTGCAGAATCATGCGGGAAATACCCCGGTGAATGGTTTGGGCCGTCGGCAACCGCCAAATGCATACAGTACGTGTCACCAGAGCTTGAGTCACAGAGGGATGCTGATAGCGACAGGCTACTTTTAACCGAAAGCGAGACTCCCCAACTTAGGGTCTATGTAACCAATGACACATCGAACGTTTATGAAGACAAATTTGCGCAAGTGGCTCACGACAAATCAGGTCAAATTCAGCCAACCCTCATCCTGATTGGGACCAGGTTGGGGATCGATAATGTCACCCCGGCGTACTGGGATGGACTTCGAGCTACACTGGCATACCCCCAATCCGTTGGCATTGCAGGGTAGGTTCATGGGTCGGTTCAAAGTGAAGTATTCGCTAACTAAAACAGCGGACGCCCATCGGCATCACATTACTTTGTAGGGGCCCAAGACTGCCATCTTTTTTTCCTTGATCCGCATACCACCCGTCCCGCAACACCATACCGACCAAATGGGCTTTACACCCAAGAAGAACTGAATAGCTATTACACCTGTCGATTGCGAAGAATCCATATCAAGGACATGGATCCCAGCATGCTCATCGGATTTCTCATCCAGAATGAAGATGATTGGGCTGACTGGAAGAACCGAATTCAATCTACGCCTGGACAGCGAATTGTGCACATCTTTCCCAGTCAGCATCAGTCAGATCATGGTCATGGTCGGGCCGAGGCTCTGGATGAAGTTGAAGTGCTGGACGATTCAGAGATGGAGATCTAAAGATACAGGCTAGCCTTTTGTTTTTAGGTTGCGCCGAGAAAAGGAGAAATAGAATCATGATGCAATGCAATTAAGCATTTGGAATTTCGCGTTCTAGTAGAGGAGGCCAATCCATGCCTGCCCCAGACCCGAGTTATGTTACACCGCATTCACGTATCGAGTGGTAACCATTCAAAAAAAAAAATCACCCATCGGGGAAAAGAAAATTCAAGCCATCCCATGACGCATTAGAGACCCGCAAAACACCCATAACCGACCACCTCAGTGCCCATAACAGATCGAGAGGTAGTAAAAACAAAAGCAAGCTGGAAATAAAACGTAAAGAAGCCGCTTATTTGGCGGAAGAAGAGTACTTGGTCACAGCCTTAGTGCCCTCAGAGACGGCGTGCTTGGCCAGCTCACCGGGGAGAATGAGGCGAACAGAGGTCTGGATCTCCCGGGAGGAGATGGTAGACTTCTTGTTGTAAGCAGCCAGCTTGGAGGCCTCGGTAGCGACACGCTCGAAAATGTCTGGAAAACCAAGTCAGAAAAACATGACGTGATAAACGCGTAAACGCGTGGTTGTATGAGACAGAAAAACATACCGTTGACGAAGGAGTTCAGGATAGACATGGCACGAGTAGAGATACCAGTGTCGGGGTGGACCTGCTTGAGGACTAGAAATGGAGTTAGTACGGGACGCGTGTTTTTTTTCTTTCTCCCTCGACGGGGTTTTGTTTTCAGAAATCAACTCACCCTTGTAGATGTAAGAGGAGTAGGTCTCCTTGCGGGTCTTGCCGCGCTTCTTCTTCTCGCCAGTGGCAGCGGTGGCAGTCTTCTTGCCAGCCTCCTTCTTCTCAGCAGGGGCCTTGCCGCCAACGGGGGCCTTGCCACCGGTGGAGGGCTTCTTCTCAGCGGCCTTAGGGGGCATTTTGAATGTGGTTTGGAAAGGTTGGGGAGAAAAAAGAGTTGAAAGAGTTAAGAGAAAGAGTAATGGATGAAGCGTGTGGGTGGAATACAGAGATGGAATGTGAAAGGATAAGTTAGAGAGACGCGGTGATGAGGGGAGAGACCGTCTTTATACTCGTGTTCCAAAGGCCAGTTGATCCTGGAGGGGGGTGCAAAGGAGGCCGAATTTCAATACTGTAAGACCCTGGTATGATCTGTATGATTAAACCGACATTGACGCGTCTTAAGGTGTGAAAAGTGGGGTATCAGCACGCTCAGCTGATTGTTATGTATGGTAATGGGTTTAAATTACCACACCTTTCCTGAAGCGGAATGTCTGATCTGATTGATCATTGGCTGCAACATCTAAGCGAGACCGTGATCTGGAGGACCATTGATGCCGCCCCAACGTCACCCTCACCGCGTCCTTATAAAGGTCCTTCGCTTCCACACGCTCACCCACCTGCTCTTGCGACTTTACACCATAACTTCAGCTCTCAATCTTCAATCTTCTCTTCCTTTCTATCCACCTCCCAAAACCCACCTTTTCCCCCCTCCCAAAACAATCAAAATGACTGGCGGAAAGTCCGGCGGCAAGGCTAGCGGCAGCAAGAACGCGCAGTCGTAAGTTGTTTACATTTCGCATCTTTCCTGTATACATCTGTTTCAAATACTGACATGAATCTCTTCAGCCGTTCCTCCAAGGCTGGTTTGGCCTTCCCCGTTGGCCGTGTCCACCGTTTGCTCCGCAAGGGCAACTACGCCCAGCGTGTTGGTGCCGGTGCCCCCGTTTACCTCGCTGCCGTTCTCGAGTACCTCGCTGCTGAGATTCTCGAGCTGGCTGGAAACGCCGCCCGTGACAACAAGAAGACCCGTATCATCCCCCGCCACCTCCAGCTTGCCATCCGCAACGATGAGGAGCTGAACAAGCTCCTGGGTCACGTCACCATTGCCCAGGGTGGTGTTCTCCCCAACATCCACCAGAGTACGTCCTCACCACACCCTCTCTCTATTCTTGCAAATATTAACATGCTCTCCAGACCTTCTCCCCAAGAAGACTCCCAAGCCCGGCAAGGGCAGCCAGGAGCTGTAAGGGTTCTATCTTTTTCGCGGGTTGTTTGTTTTCTTTTCCGGCGCGGATTGGTTCTTTGACACGATAATGGGGTTATGGGACGGGCACGTTATGGCTCTGCGTTTTCTCTTTTTTCCATCAATTTCCTGGTTGTACATTATGTCTACGGACATGGAATGATACCGACGACCTTAACTTGCTTGAGGGATTTCAACTTTCGGATACTAGCTCTGGGCATGCGCCCAAATCAATGAAAACTCCAGGTCTTTCAAGTGTTAAACCCATCAACTTTTGTATCTCTCATGCATTGTAAACCTACTAACTCTCATTCTTGATGACTTTGTGCTTTTGTGGCTATATATTGTACATGAACCAAATTGTAGATTCTAAATTCTGCTTGGGGCACTCTACATCTGTAGGAAAGATACGGAACTTGATTTTGCATAGTTCAGTGTTTGCAATTGGTCCAATCCTCAGATTGTGTTTCGCGATATTGATATGACTTAGTGTGCACCGGGAGGTTGAGCGTCTATATTGTTTCCTGATTAGTACAACTTCGAGAGCGCATGGAGATGCGAACGTACATGGCAGGATTCGGGCCGGCAGGTTGCGCTCCCATTTATTACCGCCGGGCGCAGTAGGTGCCCGGTATGGGTCAGGGTGCTTCCAGGCCTCCAAGAGCTTCTCTGTCTCGCGAAACAGAACCTAAAGGATGTGTTAGGTTTGCCAAACATGGATTTCAGTGTCGCGTACCTGTTGCTGGCGAGGATCGCGGACGTCCTTGTTGGCTTCGAAAAGAGATCGGATATAAACTGCTTGTCCACGCCAGACCTGCCGATGGACCGCCCAGTCAAGGGACAGTTTCAGGGAGCGCCGGTAAAGCGACCTGCAATAGATCAGTGATCTGTTCCTCTAGGGAAACCCCAAACTACTCACTTAACAGCGTAGGTGGACATTGTGCCAAAGTTTTGTCCCAGGTCCAATTCCGGCGAGCTGAAAGAGGGAGAGAAAAGCAGAAAAAGGGTACTTGATACCCAGTTTTTTTTTGAACAGGAATGACAACCCTTGAAGATTGTTCGTGTTCCTGGTAGACAATGGGTTGGGTACGAGGGTTTCAATGTCGTCAGGTTGACTATTCTGGGCTTCCTCATTCGTTCGGCATAAAACTTGCTCAAATGGTCATTCCCCCACCCCGTAGCAAAACCCGCTTGAATGGTCTCTCCCCCTTGCCGTAGAAGAAGAATAGTCCGCCTCTGCCGGAAAGGTGCCCGGTTTACCTTAAGACCCGATCTAATCCGAGCTTGATCTTCTTTGCTTCCTCTAATTTTTAGAGTTGAAGCTCTTTTCTCTTATCTATCACTCCGGTTCGCCTTTTTCTTAGCTGAATAAATCTTGCTTTTATTCCATCATGGCTTCTCGAATCTCTATTGCGCGCCTCTCGGGTCAGCGCTTCTCGGCTGTGGCCAGAACCACTCCTCGGGCATCAAGCCAGTTCCGCAATGTCAAAGGATTGTCTACCCTCACGCGAAAGACATCGGCTCGCTCAGCTTCGGGCTTGTTGCAGGTATCTTCCTCCGGGTAAGTATATCTATGTCATTACCACCCGTCGCAATTTTGGCTCATACAATCTTATAGCATCAATGTCTCGCGACTGAACCTTGCTCCTCTGGGGGGACACCAACTCCGGACCTATGGTAAAAGATTTTCCTACTCGGTCTTGTTTGTCAATTGCTAATAGTGCTTAGCCGACTCTATCATTAAGGTCCCCAGCATGGCTGAGTCGATCACCGAGGGTACCCTCAAGCAGTTCTCAAAACGTATGGTGCTTCAGCTGTGGTCGAACGTTTAAACATTTACTTATTCCGGTACAGAGGTTGGCGATTTCGTCGAGCGTGACGAGGAAATTGCGACAATCGAAACAGACAAGGTAAATGCAAATCCTCCTCCCCCTCTCTCTCATGACTAGTATTGTTGACTAACATGAGGTTTCTGTTAGATTGACGTTTCGGTCAATGCCTCGGAGTCTGGTACCATCAAGGAGTTCCTCGTGAACGAGGAAGATACTGTTACCGTCGGCCAGGATCTCGTCAAGATCGAGCTTGGCGCCGCTCCCGAAGGTGGAAAGAAGGATGAGGGCGCTGAGAAGCCCAAAGAGGCCGAATCCAAGGAGCCCGAACCCAAGGAGCCCGAACCCAAGAAGGATGCCGAGCCCGCCCCCGCCGAGACCCAAAAGTCCAAGGAGCCCGAACCTAAGAAGGCTGCGCCCCCAAGGAGGCTCCCAAGACGGAGTCCAAGCCCCAAGCCGCTGAACAGCCAGCTCTTGGTGGCCGCGAGGAACGCCGGGTATGTTGACCACCAATATGCCTTTTGAACTTGGGCTTCAACTAATTTTGGTCTAGGTCAAAATGAACCGCATGCGTCTGCGTATTGCTGAGCGACTGAAGCAGTCCCAGAACACCGCCGCTTCTCTCACCACTTTCAACGAGGTTGACATGTCCTCGCTGATGGAGTTCCGGAAACTGTACAAGGATGATGTGCTCAAGAAGACCGGTGTGAAGCTCGGTTTCATGAGCGCCTTCTCCCGTGCTTGTGTGCTTGCCATGAAGGATATCCCCGCTGTCAACGCCTCCATCGAGGGTCCCAACGGTGGTGATACCATTGTCTACCGCGACTACGTTGACATCAGCGTTGCAGTCGCCACCGAGAAGGGTCTCGTGACTCCTGTTGTCCGTAATACCGAAGGCAAGGATCTTGTTGGAATCGAGAAGGCCATTGCCGATCTCGGAAAGAAGGTCAGCGGTTGTTTTTCTGTGGGAGAGGTGCTGAGTATACTGACCTGCAATAGGCTCGTGACGGCAAGTTGACCATTGAAGACATGGTCGGTGGTACCTTCACCATCAGCAACGTATGTTTCCTGTCTCTATGTGTGTTTTGAGAATTCACTCGACTAACTTCGATCAGGGTGGTGTCTTCGGCTCGCTGATGGGCACCCCGATCATCAACGTTCCTCAAACAGGTCAGTCGTCTCGTACTATCTTTTCTGGGGTGGCTTCGAATCTAATATTGTCTAGCTGTCTTGGGTCTCCACGCCATCAAGGACAAGCCTGTTGCTGTGAATGGCAAGGTTGAGATCCGTCCCGTACGTACCGGCAATCCAATCACTTTTTCCCTTCGGTTTACTAATATTTTTAGATGATGTACCTGGCTCTCACCTATGATCACCGTCTCTTGGATGGTCGCGAGGCCGTTACTTTCCTTGTCAAGGTATGTCTACCTCCTCGTCCGGCCCAAATTTACTCACTAACCCCATCGCAGGTCAAGGAATACATTGAGGACCCCCGACGCATGCTTCTTGGTTAAGTGACATGAGTGTTTTGTCACACGCCTTTTATTATCTGTGTTCCCGTACCTAGAGCGGCCTTGCGCCCTTTGTAAATTATTATGTTTCCAAGATATAAATGCCATGTCAAGGATAGGTCTTGGGCTCTGAGTACTGTTGTGCTATATGTTGCTTTCGATCTTTGTCGGCTAAAAATTGACTGAGATTGAATCAAAGTGGTGGTCAAGTTAGTGTACATGTGGTATTGCGTTTCAGACAAATTTGTGGACCTCTGGCCCTCACACACGTCGTCTCAACTTGACATTACACCCAGGAGAGCACATAGAAGGGCGTATGCTCGTATCTTTTTTAGTGAGAGACCATTAGAATCCACAGTACTCTCGAATCTGCCGTGTCTCCTCCCTGGTCAACCCTTCCAGCTGACCATGCTCCAGTTGAAGAAGAAGCGGCACATCCAGGATATCCATGAAATCAGCGAAAAAATCAACAAACCGATTCTGTAGGCATTGGGGAGGAAATTTTTGATCAAGCTCCTCTCGGCTCATGGGATCCGCAGTACCAAATGGAGGTGGCACATGCTCCAGAAACATAGTACGGCTGACCTCCCACCATATATCGAGCTCACTGTCGTTGGTTCTCCAGTTGCAGAGTCTCTGAAGCTGATCTGGGAAGCGCGCTTGTTCTTCCATCATTGCATGCACCATGAAATGGGCACCAAGATCGAACCAACGTCTTCGGGATACGTTGTCGATTGCGGAGTGACAGAGGTCCATGAACTGAACTGCGATCTCAGACAAGGGCACAAAGTGACCGAGGTCACGATCTTTGGGAGGGTCCCAGTGGAGAAACAGATTGGACAGGTACAAGATACGCAATTTGAGGTCCAGATCCCAGGGCAGAGGGCCTTCAAGACGGTGACCGAGAACCAGCCGGTGGAATTCTAGAGTTGTTAGTATGGATGGCCCTTTGCTAGTGATCTCTGGTGCTTACGTTCAACGAAGAGTGCAGCCCATTCAATGTCCTCGGTTGGTCTTCCGTCAAGTATCGCTTCTAGGAGCCCGCTGACACACAGGCAGACTATGTAGTCGAGGATCAACAGATCCACAGTGGCTCGAGTGCCAGGTCTTTGGTCCGCCATTTTGAAGTGAACAACTGGGGGGATATCAGATAAAAGGCAGGTGAGCGGTTTTAGAGGGTTCCATGATGTCCTGACGATACACGCTGTTCCCACGGCGATTGTATGCGCTTAGTCGGCGCAATTCGTCGATTCGTCGTGATTCGTCCGCGATGTCTCCGGCATGTTTTGATATGCTCACGTGACTTCCCATCCTGTCATCACAGGTCCTGATCTATTACATAGTATCACCCTTCTTGAGATGTCTTAATTTGAGAGGTGTGATATGTTGTGAGGGTTTCTTAGGTTCCTTGGGGTGTAGAGTCAATCTCGAGACTGATTTGAGGTATCACGTGTGCATGCGGATATCATGGCGTCATTTATATATACAGTCACACATATGTCTATACTATGTAATTGACCAAACAATAGAAACACCTGCTCTTTCACTCACCACATCATTCTATGTTTAGCCTACCAAAACTGAACATCAGTAAAGCAACACGGGCTATGACCATGGCGTGGTATTGTTCTGGATCCACCAACACCGAGTTGATTGAGAACCTATTCAAGGCTGGACTGATCCAGAACGAGCGTGTGAAAGATGCCATGATTGGAGTGAGTATAGCAATCACATCTCTCTCTCTCTCTTTTTTTTTTTTTTTAACATGGTCAAGGTTGATCGAGCACATTATGCTCCGTCACGGCCGTATTCGGACTCACCTCAGCCCATTGGATATGGAGCTACCATATCAGCACCACACATGCATGGCCATGCCTGTGAGTATCTGATTAATCATCTCAAACCAGGTGCTCGGGTGTTGGATATTGGATCTGGCTCAGGATACTTGACCCATGTCCTTGCCAATCTGGTGACCGACTCCAATGCCCAGGGACAGGTGATTGGCATTGACCATATCTCCGAGCTGACAGACTTGGCTCGCTCCAACATGGATAAGTCCAAGAAAGGGAGTGAATTCCAAGCATCCAAAACTGTCAAGTTTATCACAGGTGATGGACGCCTTGGATGGAAAGAAGGTGCACCCTACGACGCCATCCATGTTGGCGCCGCAGCCGATCAGCTTCACCCAACCCTCGTGGACCAACTGCGTGCTCCTGGGAGACTTTTCATCCCGGTGGAATCGGAAGACGACGAGGGTGCTGGTAACCTCAACGGGGGTCAATATATCTGGGTGGTGGATAAAAAGGAAGATGGATCCATTCACAAGGAGAAAGTCTTCCAAGTGAGCTACGTGCCCCTGACCGATGCTCCACGACGATGAGGTTGCAATCCAGACACTTTTTCTTTTCTTTTCTTTATAGATGCCTTTGCTTCAATTTAAGTCAAAAAACAAAGAATATTGCTTTCTTAGTACTTATTTCTCAGGGGGACGCTTCAAAATTATTTCCAGGAATAGCTTTCCAAACACATCAAGAGACTCCACGAACACCTGGTATGTTCCACAAAGGCAATCCGATCAGCGGAATCCACCAGGGAATTTGAAATTGCCTTGGAATTGCGGACCACCCTGCTGGAAGAAGAACTGCTGACCACCGAATGGGTTGCCCTGGAAGGGACTGCCACGCTGCTGCGATTCAGGATCATTGGGATCATCGCCATTATCAAACCGTGTCCGGAGTTCGGAGTCAGCCAAAACCTCGTAGGCCTCGTTGATGGCCGCCATTTTCTTCTCTGCTTCCTCCTTGCTTACACCCTGCGCGTGGGCCTTATCTGGATGGTGTTGCTTCACCAGCTGGCGATACGCGCGCTTGATGGTCCGATCGTCTGCATCACGGCTGATACCTAGGACTTTATAGTAATCCTTCTGTTTGGAGCGCTTGAGTAGGGTCTGAGCCTTTTGGCGGAGAGATTGCGCTTCCTGGGAGCTGGGGTGGTGTTCCTTGACCGACTCGAGCGTACGTATGGCGTCCTCGAATCGATCCTCGTCCAATGCGGTCTGAGCCTGATACAAAAGCCCGGCAAGTGAGTGAGGGACAAGCTGGAGAGCTTCAGCGCAATAAGGACCAGCCTTTTTTATCATACGCATCTATAATATGTTAATGACTGAGACTAGACACTGGGGTGTGGGTACTCACTTCGCGGTAAACCTCGCAGGTCTTCTCGACTAGGAATGTATAAAGATTATTCGGTGCCAGGCGATGGATATGGTTAGCCTGTCGTGCTTCTTCAACATCGGCTTTGATGTCTGCAATCAGCCCACTAGATTCGCTATCGCCGACCATGAGATTTGCTGCGTTGCTGAATTTGCGTGCGCCTAGGGCAGTATGCAATTTTTCTAGCTGCTTGACAAGCTTCCGTTCACGTCGATAGAGACGGTTGCATGGTTTCGAGTCGGGATCAGCATGGAGACATTTACGGATCTGAGCAAGGCCACGATCACTGTCTCCTAGAGAGTAGAACAGCATAGAAGACATTTGCAGGTGAGGTTCGACCAAGCTTGGGGACATCTGTAAGACATGCGCCAGATCACTGAGCCCTTCTTCCGTCTCTCCTTTCTCGAAGTGACAATGAGCTCGAGCCTGTCGTAGAGGTAGGGCCGTATTTGCCTTGAGGATGGCCACATTGGCCTCTGAGATACACGCCTCCCAGTCGCCCTGTTTTTCGGCACTGAGAGCTAAGGTGGCCGCATCTCGTGCGGCCTCTAATTCCTTGTAGTCGTCCGTCGACTTCTTTCCGGCCCTCTCGAGATCCTGCAAGGCCTCTTGCCAATGCGCGGAGCGTGCCTTTAACCGAGATCGTTGTAGAAGAGCGCCCTCGAAGTCTGGCTTGAGTTCTAGAACTCGATCAAAGTCACTTGAGGCTTGAGAGTTCTTGCCGATGGACAGATACGCCGCACCCCGTTGGAAGATAGCGATATAATTGGTTGGGTCGCGCGAGACGGCGGCGTCGAAGTATACCACGGCATCTCGGGGCGAGCCTTGCGCGAGGTGGGCTTTGGCTGAAGAAATCAATTCAGATAGAGGTGTGTCCGAGGGAATCTCAAGGGCATATCCAGCCGAGAAACAAGCCAGAAAGGCCGTGAGTGATTCCAAGGAAACCAGCATTTTTGGGGTAATGCGACGCAGTACTGACGTAGCAACGATGTAGTACAGTTGTAAATGAGGGATTTGGTGTAGAATTAGTCCACCTAGGAGTATAAAAAGAAGGGCATAATCCAAAAGCCCAGGTCCAAATAGAGAATTGCAAAGAGCAAAGAACAATGAAGGAAAGTCGAAAGTTGATACTCCGTGGCCTTTACGCCCTATTGTTCCGTTACCGTCATGTGACATGGAATTGTCACATCGGCTTGACTCCGAATTTTGGTCATTAACTGATAAGTATGCTCGTCAAGTCAACATGTCGAACTATCTTGCCTAGGCTTGGTCTCAGATTGTCGCCTTTACGTGGTGTACAGACTGGTAAGACCGGTTTCGGTTACTTTGTGATCAATGCTAATTTGTGATCAAGCATCCGATGGTGCCTTATCTCCAGCTCTTTTAACTAGAGCCCGCCTACTTGCAGCTGAACATACAAAGCTTTCCGAACGACTCGGAGAGTCCTTTGACGCAAAAACTGCCAAGCGAGCCGGAGAATTGGCACCGATTGCAAATATCTTGAAAGAATGGGCCAATGCCAACGATGTATGCGCCTGAGAGTCATTTCATTGGAGTCCTACTAATTCCACTAGTCTATCGTCGAGCTCAAATCCCTACTAACCGATCCCAGCACCGATGCTGAACTACGATCTTTGGCGACAGAAGACCTTGAGAGCAGTCGCGATGCCTTGCCAACGATATCAGACCGACTAAAGAAGGCTCTCATTCCCCGACATCCATTTGCAGACCTTCCCTGCTTGCTTGAAATTCGACCTGGTGCAGGCGGAGACGAAGCAGGCCTGTTCGCTTTTGAGATGTTACGGATGTACGTTGCCTTTTGCTCCCGAAGGGGCCTCCGCCCAACAATTTTGAAACAAGACACAGAGGTCGGTCCGTCCGACGACCGTCTCAGTGAAGCCGTAATTGAAATTGAAGCCAATGGGGCATATGATATATTACGGACTGAATCGGGGGTACACAGGGTGCAGAGAGTACCCGCAACCGAGACCAAGGGTCGCACCCATACCAGCGCCGTTAGCGTAATGGTCTTGCCGAGTTTCCCAGAGGACAGCAGTGAGATGGATAGTGCCCTGAACTTTGAAGATCCAAACAGTGACTACTACATTGACCCGCAAGAGGTGCGGGTTGAAAAGATGAGGGCTGGAGGTGCTGGTGGACAACACGTCAACAAAACCGAATCCGCCATCCGACTGACCCATATCCCCACGCATACGGTCGTCTCGATGCAAGACGAACGGTCCCAACAGGCCAATCGGAGAAAGGCGTGGCAGATGCTGCGGGCAAAGTTGGCCGAAGCCCGGCAAGAAGCCCGCGAGCAAGAGCTCATGCAGCTCAGACGAGGTATACTGGGTGGTGTGGCCAAAATGGGCCGAGGCGATAAAATTCGAACCTACAATTTTGGTCAAAGTCGTTGCACGGACCATCGCACAGGCATCACGATCCACAATCTGGATAGTATTCTTGATGGCGGTGATGGTTTGGAGACTGTGATGGATAGTGTGCGGACCTGGATGGCTGATAATGAAGTTGAGGCCATGGTTGCCGAGGACATGGCAAAAACAAAAGAGTAAATAGCAAAGTTCTCATGTACAAAGATACCGTGTATTCTATTAAGGTCCGAATCTATTCTACAAATACTTTCGCTCCGGATCCAAGAGGTCCAGTCCATCCATAGCCTTCTCATACCTACCCAACAGTTAGCAAACTTCATATCACTTGGGTCAATTACAAACATGGTGAACACAATTCCTCCACTCATGATTAATCTCGCAAGTCGTGGCATGGCGCCAGACCACAAAGTCAAGACACCTTCATCCTTGATGATTCTGGTTGCGCAAGCAATGCTGTTCTTGTAATGCTTGCTGGCCTCGAGTGATTGCATTCTGATATCGTTAGTTACTTATGCCATTAATGTCGCGGGGATATTAACCTTGTCTTGACCGTATCCAATGGTTGGGTCACATAACTGATCCATGTTAGCTTTGGATTCGTCATTTCTTCTTTTCCTCTTCCTCGGGGGCCAAGACTTACACGGTGATCAACCCTGCGACTCCACCGATTCCAAAGGTGGCTGCAGTGCCCAGCTTTTCGCCGGGCGCCGTGTAGCCCTCTGCAAACTGTTTCAATGTTGTGTAGGCTGTGAATCGAGTTGCCGAGTTGGCGGCCTGTCTTGCTGTAGTGGGCACAAAGCCTTGGAAGAAGCCCTTGACACCTCTTTCCTGGAAAATGAGCTTGCTACCGTGCAAGAAACCACGCATCCGAGGGTTGGCAGACTTCCGGTCGTCGATCCTATAGTTTGGTCAGTAAAGTCAGCCCCAAAACAACAGGACGGGAACTTACAATTGGGTCTTGATGCTTTCAAAGGGGGTGACGGCGAAAAGAGACTCGGTGAATCCAGCACCAAATCCAGCAACAACCGTCCTTGGTCCTGAGATTTTGCCGTTCTCATCCTGAAGAACCGACTTGATGGCATCAAAAGCGACGAATCCTGGTATGGGTCAACGACAGCCCAGATCATAGCAGGAGGTACGACGCACGAATTCCAGCCTTGATCGAGTTTCCGATAATCAGTGTTGTACATCCTGCATACCACTGGCTTCCAAACGGTGGCCATGGTAGCTTTTGGCCGTGGGTAAGCTGACGATTGAGTTGAGTCCGGGTCTTCGCAACTGCGAAGCATTAGCGCCAATTGGTATAAGACATTTAAAGTATCATACATTCGGCCGGGTATGTGATCGCTGTAGTATACGCATTAGCTAGCAGCTTGGTAGGGGTCATTGAGCTCTTTACCGATCTCCACGGCTCCGGCGGTGGACCCCGCAAGGATGGAGCGAAGGGCACTGGGCTATCTATTGGTGAGCTTCAAGTAGACCTCATGGTTTGACTGAAGAACATACCTTTGCCTTCTGATCCTTATTCACCGTCGCCATTTTTTTTTTGTTTGGGTTGTTTGGAGGACTTGGAGTCGCCGATCCTCGGAGGTCCATATACGGCCTTCGGCACGTGCCATTACCGCCGAGTGTTGGATCTATGGGGATCAGCCAGGCCAGTCCCTATCCAACTTCATATATGGAGGCTGTATCAGGTTAAGAATTCATCGAATCTACAAATGATTACAGTGTGAAAGATTGGAGGGAATATTGTCAATTCACTAGCTGAATCTACCTAGATCAGTTAAGCAACTAGTGCTCCTCCATTTCTTTTCTTCTTTTTTTATTTCGTTTTTTTTTGAAAGTGGGAGATTGGTGTTCGCCGTGTCTCTAACAACGGCTGTCACACACAGTGGGTGTAGGCAGGAATGAGGTTAAGCATGATAGTGGGAGGGCCCCAAGGGGCCAACAAAAGGTTGGTAAAGGGGTGAGATCGTCACTCGTTGCGTAGGGAAAGTAAAAGAACAGAGCCTCCCGCTCCACTGGGAAACAGAAAATTCGCATGAGACGCTTGTCCTTTGGAACGCCATTTGCCTTATAAATCCCCGAAACACACAATACAGCCTCGGAAAACGAAGAGCGTAGGCGCCGAAAATGCGTTTTCCTCAAGGATCCAACTCGGAACAAGGGCCGGAACGGAAAAAGACATATGATACATTGCACTCCCGTATCATTATGACCGGACAATCAATGCTGGGATAGCCCGGCAAGATTTCGAAGATAGAGCGGAATAGAATAAGAGAATCGAGGAAACCAAAGCGCAGCGAAATGAAAAAAAAAAATAAAAATAAAAAACTGTTCAGACGTGGCCCTAAGAGATGGGCGCCTGAGGTTGACCGGGATTCGGTTGACCAAAGGTGATCCGGTTGGCGTCATTCTGTGCTCCACGGCGTTGACCTTGCCCACGACCACGGTAAGAACCGCGTCCCCGATTGTTGTAGTATTGGCCATGTTGTCCACCATGTTGTCCACCATGTTGTCCATGCTGCTGGCCATGTTGTTGGCCCTGCGGTTGCGGTTGGCCATTGTGGTTGTTCCGACGAGGTTGACGATCTGCGCTCATGTTCACAGATCCAGCCCCAGTCTGAGGTGGAGGGTTGGAAATGGGTCGAGGGATGTTCTCGGGAGAGTCATAGACATAAAGCTTCTTGTCAATATTCTGAGGGATGGGTTGGATTTCAGTGCCTAGTTCTTGCTCAATCTTGTACAGATTGAACCGATCCTCCCAGTTGATGAGGTTAATGGCGAGACCCAGGTGTCCGAAACGACCCGAACGACCGATACGGTGAAGATAGGTTTCTGCGTTCTTCGGGAAATCAAAGTTGATCACAACGTTGACAGCTTGGATATCAATACCGCGAGTCAACAGGTCAGAGCAAACCAAGTTGCGGCATACGCCATTGCGGAAGTCATGGAAGACTCGGTTACGGTGTTGCTGAAGCATCCGAGCATGAGAGTAAAAGCACGAATAGCCAAGTTCGGTGATTTTTTTGGCTAGAAGCTCAACTCGATTGGTTGAGTTGCAGAAAATGATCGACTGGTTGATTTGAAGCTTGGAGAAGAGCGTGTTTAAGCAATGAACCTTTTGCTTCTCCTCGACGAAAGCATAGTACTGGGTGATACCGCGCAGGGTAAGTTCGTCCATAAGGTTGATCTCGTAAGGGTTGCGCATGTGCTTGTCTTTGAATGACTTGACAATCAGAGGGAAAGTGGCACTGAAGAGCATGACCTGGCGATCCTTGGGGTGGAAGGACATAAGTTGCTCAATGACAGGAGTAAATTCGGGAGACAGCAATTTGTCTGCTTCATCCATCACGAATGTCGGGCATTCGGCCAAGTCGGCGACACCTTTGCTAGCCAAATCCAATACTCGTCCAGGGGTTCCCACAAGAATGTGAACAGGGTCATTCAACCGAATAATGTCGTCCATCAGGCCAGTTCCACCGGTGGTGACCATGACATTGATACCCAGGTGTTTGCCTAGGGTCTTGCAGACCTGTGATGTCTGGAGGGCGAGCTCTCGTGTGGGGACCAGGATCAAGGCCTGGGTCTTTGTGCTTTTGGGGTTGATGCGCTCGAGGGTGGGGATAACAAAGGCAGCGGTCTTTCCAGTGCCATTCTTAGCTCGGGCCAAGATGTCTCTGCCTGTGAGGGCAACTGGTATCGTCTCTTCTTGGATAGGGGAGGGCTTTTCAAATCCAGCCTCAAAAATGCCCATCATAAGTTCACGTTTGATGTAGAAGTCCTCGAACTCGAGACCTTTTGTGGCAGTAACATCCTATTCAGAGTCAGTATTTTGGAGTTGACTGACATCAACACAATACTCACCTCAGTTTGTGGGCGAGCATCTTTAGGGGGAAGATTCAATGTGTCCTGCAGTCTTTGCTCTGAGGTTGCTTCCCTGATTAAGTTAGACTTGTTTGAGACCGAGAACCAAACATGATTAGCTTACAGCTTAGTATTGCTGAGTTGTGCAGCAAGCGCGTCGGCCATTGTGACGATAAGGTGCTAAGGGGATAGGTTGGGAAACAAGTGCGGTGACCGATCTTCTTTGCGATCGAGGGTATTTGTGAGAGGATGTGCGCGGAATTTGGATGATCAATATTTTGAAAGGTTTGACGGAAATGTGAGGAGAGAAGGGAGATGCTCGTCGAAACCAATAAAGTCAGGTTTGTAGGGGACGGGGAGAGATTGGGTATTCAATGAAATGAAGCTTCTGTGTGGAACCAATAAAGATCACTGGATCCAAAGCTAAAGAGAGTTCACAAATAGGGTAAGGAAAGGTAGAAACCAGTTTTGTTAGGAGGGAAGAGAAAAAGTAGAGGTTGGGACTATGATGGCGGGGAGCGAAGAGGTTTGAGGTAAAGTGAAGCTAAACGTTTAGGTAGGGTCACGTGTCACTACTATATTCACAACATACTATTTATTCACCACAGACTATCCTCTACACAGGTATAAAAATAATTTCGAACATAGCGTAAACATAGCATTTCTTAAGGGTATTTCGCTGCAAAGAAGGTTACAGAAATTGGAGTTCAGCGTCTTAGCGCCGGAAGGTTAGTGTTGTTTGCCCACGTTCTGGCTCTGCCAACTCCTTCACTCGAACATCTGCAGAGATAGTGATATCGGTTTTGCTACCGGGTGTGATCAGAATGAATTGTCGCCCGATAGATCGTCTAGCGGCAACCATCTAGAGAGAGTCAGCGATGATCCAAGGAAGGAGATATGGGACTTACAAGCATATCAATGGCCATCTTTCGGTTGATATGATCCATATACACATCACTGTCTAAAGTCAGCAGCTGACAGAAAACAAAGGGCGAAGAAAACTTACAATTCGTCAAGACAACGGATTGGGGATCCCATGGCTTCCCAGAGAGACAAGAGCAGACAAACTTGTGAAAACGACTTCTCTCCACCGGACAGTGTCTTTGCACCTCTCCCAGTGCTATCATCTTTAGTAATATCAGGTTCAACCTAGACAGGAGTTAGCAATCGTTTCACCAATGTTTTGCCGAACAGGCTTACTTGTAGATCTAGAAGTTTGTTGGTATGGTCAGCCAGAAGGCGACCACGGAAACTTCTCTCACTCAAGAGATAAGTGAACTGAGCTTTCGCTCGTGACGAGATGTGGGATCTGAAAATTTCCCATCTCTTCTTGCGGTTTTGGAGTGTGTCTTTCAGAGCCTAAACAATAATCAGATCGGATCAAAGAAAACAACAAAAAACCAAACTAAAAGGACCTACTTGACTCAAGGCCGAAAATTGTTCAAGTTGCTGCAACGCTCGGTCGTATGTTGCTGCGGTCTTCGTTGCCTCAGCAGCAATTTCTTCTCGAGAACTTCCCAGCCTGTGGATTGTCAGTTTTGTTTACAAACAATGAGCAGAAGGTGACATACTCCAGATTGTAGCGATCGAGATCGCGGCTTAGTTTATCGAGCTTTCTGTCGAGGCTGCCGGGTGTTTCTCCTTCGTCCACAGGAACTCTAGAAGAAACCAAGCCGGCCTTTTCATTGTATTCAATGACTCGTGCCTTGACCACTTCTCTTCTTGCCTCAATTGCAGTCTTGGTCTCTTTATCCTGATTAATAAGACCAACAGCTTCGTTCTTCTCGTCGATGATTTTGGCTTGTTTCGCTTTCACAAGATTTTGCTCGCTTTCAGCAACGTGTAGTTTTTCCCGCAGAGTGGCAAGGTCAGCGTCTTTGGCAGACAGTTCTCGCCGAATTTCCTTGAGAGTTTGCAACATGGCTTTCATGGCTGCCTCGCTATCCTTGTACGATCCCTCATTGAGCTGCTTCTCATCTTCGGCTTCCTTTAGAGCTGCATGTAGGGCATCGATGCGTCCATCCTCGGCGTTCTCTTTGTCCAAGGCGTCTCTGAGACCCTCGGCATGATCTTCCATTCGTTGCATTCGAATTTGCAGATCTTTCTCGGTTCTTCCGTGTCGGACGAGCGCCTGTTTGCAGGCCTCAACGCGTGACCGGGCAGTTACCAATGACTGCTCGATGTCATTCTGCTGGCGCTGGAGGTCGGCAATAATGTCACGTTGTGCGCTGGACCCATCAGACAGTGTCATATATTTCAAGGAAGATGGTTTACGTACTTGATTTGCAAGGCTACGTCGGATTTCATGCGCGGGCCATCCGTCCACCCCATAACTGGAGCTTGACTCGGTTCTCCGGCTCGGCTGTATGAGAGGTGAAGTCCTCGACGTCGATCTTTTGAATCAATAGAGTAACATCGCTTAACATTCCTTGGTCGTGCACCATCGAATAGTACAGCGGAGGCTTCATTTACATCCTCAATCAAGAGCATTTGCTCAATTCCGTGGTTGATGATCAGTTGCCGCCGCACTAATTCGTTGTCAATCTGAAAGGTCAGCACATTATATAGATGGTGGAAAGGATGAGGGGTGGCTACCTGAAGTGTTCGTAAGACAGTGGTGTGTTGGGAGTCTGGTTCGTGTGCCGAAGTATCCAAACGGCCACCAGAGCCAATGAAGATCGGACAGTTGCTGTGAGGTCAGCTTCACTTTCGACATAAACTTTTGGTCAAACTCACCACTGGACCCGCCGCATGATATCAAAAAGAAGCTTCATGTCATTTTTGGACGAAACAATAAAACTGGAAAGCGTGCCACCAAAGACTCTTTCCAAAATAGATGACCACTTCGGTTCTAGTAGAGTGACATGGTGACCAATTGGGCCGACAGGGCGTGATTCCCATGATTGTTCCCGTTCAATGGCTTTGAGGAGTGCAGGCATTTTGACATGAAAGCCGGACTGCCTCGATCCTCCCTCTTTAGTGAGATTCCGAAGTTGGTCCTCCGCTTGAGAAATCTCGCGTTTTTTCTGTTCAAGCGGACCTTTTGCTTCTGTGAGCTCTGTCTGGGCGGTTTCACTCTCTTCCCGTAGGCGAGCGGCACCTTGGCGATGCTCTTCGTATTCCTTTTGGGCAGCAGAAGCGTCATTGGCGGCTTGTTCACACTCGTCTTGCCTCCGAGCGTAGCCGCCGTCGCTCACATCGGCGAGACGCTGATTCTCATCGTCGACTTTTTGCTGAGTTTCCTGGATTCTCGACTCAGCCGCTTTGAGATATTCCCTAATCTGGCGTTGTTCCGCCTATACGGAACAGTTAGGGAGAAGATCTCACGGTGACTGTAGAAACGTACCTGTAGGTCATGGCGTCCGGCCATCTCAGCGTCCAATCTTTCTTTTATTTTGTCCCTTTCGTCTTGAGCCTCATTCACTGCCACAGCCGCTCGCCAGGAATGTTCACCCGCGGCAGTTTCCTCGGCGGCGACTCCATCGAAGGCAGCATCAAACCGAGTGAGGTGAGACTCGGCCTCAGCAATTTTCCGATTTGCCTCGGCGATTTGTTGGGTGAGTGAGATTTCCATCTGTTCCGTTAGCCAATCTTCAAAAGAGTCGCTAGGGAGGGACCGACTCTTTCTTGCTCTTCAACTTGAGCCCAAGCCATTTGGCTTCGGATATTTCTGATACGCTTTCGCAGAGAATCATGTTGGTCAGAAATTTCTAGTTTTTTCTTGGCCAATTCCTTGCGGTTTTGGAGGACCTGTACGTCTTGGGATGATGTTCTGAGCTTCTCTTCGATTGAGTCAAGTGATTCCTCCACCAGCCGGTAGTCATTATCGAGCTGCTCTAACTGAACACCTTTGACAAAGAATTTGTATTTCTCAGCTGGGCTTGATGTACTCAAGAACTGACGGGCCATATCTTGAGATAGTACGTTCATAGGGTTTTCGATCTGCAGAGAGAAATAGTCCGTAATAGCATCCAGCTCGCCCTTTTTAGTCGAGACGATGCGCCCATTCTCTGACTTGATCTTGAACCCGCTGGTGCCGCTTCTAGAGAAATGACGCTCGACAATAATGGTTTTCCCATAATCGTCCGGCATGTAGGCACCGTCGCCTTGATTCTTGATGCGAACAATGATCGTGCTATTTTCTTTGCCCTCTTTGATAAAATTCTTCAGGCTTTGCCCACGGTTTGTCGCAGACGCTTTGCCACCTAGACAAAGAGTGATTGCTGTCAAAATCGCGCTCTTGCCGCTACCGTTCTTTCCAACAATAAAGTTGATCAGCGGCCCCAGTTCCACGTAAAAGTGGTCATGGCACATGAAATTGTAGCACTCAACACGTTCGAGGATTCCATGTTCGGCGGGCACGTTGGCTTCGTCGATTAGATGTGAGTATTTTTCTTGTATGATCTGGGTCTGACGGAGCTCTAGTTCGTCCTCATCGTCCAGAAGCGCATCGTCGTTGACGGCTAGAAGTGAATCCGCGGCGTTGGTTACATCTCCGGAAGAGGTTGGAGATCCGGATTCCGCTGTACTCTCTGAATTTGTCCGCTGTCGTTTTCTCTGTGATTATTAGCTCTGCTTCAACCAATACTTGCTGGAATCGTACAGAAGAACTTATGGCTGGATGGTTGGACCCATCGCTTTCCTCGGAGTCCGAAGGCATCTGCACGCGCTTGCGGGACGGCATTTGGAGAAACAATTATCAACCAAAGCCAGCGATTAGCATATCGAGCAGACTCGTCGGTCTTAGCTGATTGTCGTGGTTTGCGGCCAAGACCCCCACGGACTGATAGTCCCGAGGTCGCGTCGCGTCCGCGTCAAATAGACTTAGTAATCAAATGGATAAACTACCTAGGCACCCAGTGAAAATGTAACCTTCAATGTTGTTTTGATGTTTTGGTGTCAAATTCCAAGAAGAAAGTCATAGATGAAATAGAAATGAGTTTGCTGCATGGGTAAAAACCGGGGGGTGAACAACGAAAAGCGTTCCTTTGTTCAGTAACCACAAAGAGAAACCGAGGCCGAAACTATGGACGAGTACAGAGTATACGAGTACCTATTGCCTCAGATAATTCTTACAGGTGTTAATGATAAGTCAAAAGTTTTATTTTTAGGCGATCTTCTCCATCTACCGCTAAACTACACCATCGACTAGAGATTCGCGAGTTGATTGCGCATGTTCTCTAGGGCATCGAAATTAGCTCGTATAGTAGTGGCAAGGACACTCGAACACTTGATATTGCCATCCTTTGCCCATTCATCGCATGTGTGACGAAGCTGCTGATGCGCAGCTGCAAAGGCACTCTGCAACTCAGAAGTCCGAGTACACGATCGGCCTAGATCATTCATGTAATGGGTAGGATCTTGTATGCATAATCGTTGCGCAACAAGGGCATTCCGTCTCGTCGCAGCGGTCCGTTTGGCGCTAATCAAAGAACGCTGACCGCGCTGGTGGGCAGGTTCCTCAGCGTCAGGAGCTACAGGTGACGTGTCTGCGCTGAAAAGTCCAGGAGGATCCACGGCAACGCCGACAGACTTGAGGTCAACTTGAGTGCCATAAAATTGCAGAAGATCGAGGAACTGATGACCCAGGTTATTGGGCCCGGGGAACCGGCCATGGTTCATCTTCAGGAATGCCACGATGAGCATGGCCAGTCCATCTGGTCCAATGCTCGCTTGTGACGAGCCAAAAAGGCCACGCGCCTCTAGCAATGTGCGTGTTACTGCGTACAGAGGTCGCAAGGTAGGATATTCGACCTGATAATCTTGCAGATACTCCGTGATGGCAGGGATACCCTCGCCACAGTAAAATTGTAGCAACAGTCCAGTCGGCCGGTGGCGAGCGGATAGTGCGGGGTTTCGCTTGTCCGATAGTTCGACATGGTCGCTGAAGTTATCGGTGTGCTGTAGAGCTCTTTGGACTCGACGTAGAAGGCGGATATGGGCACCTTGGATCCGAGGCCGCGTGGGGCTCGGTCTTCGATCACGTTCTGGTGATCTAGGAAGGTCTTCATATGGAAGTATAAAGTCAAGATCCGAGTGCGCCAGTACAAGGCCCGTGCAGTGGGATCCAATGACTCTTGGGGCATGTGGGACCACTGTTTTGAGAAGTGAGGCTACCCCTATCTTGAGCTTCTCTATACGGTCTTTTTCCTGAGCTTTGGGGGTCAGGTACTGATCCAATGCTCGAATTTCTGCATCCAGGGTGACCTCGGCATTGGTGCGAGGCAGTTCTAACTTTCTCACCCATGGACTCTGTGCCAGACCTGTTCCTGCGGGCCGAATTGCGTTCTCTCCAGGTTGATCAGTGATTGATTGGCGAGACGATATATCCACATGACTTTTGCGTTTTTTTGGGCGCTTTTTAGACCCCGGATCAGGCGTATTAGATGGATATTCCGCATTGGGTAGAGCTGATTCCACGGGTGGTTGGTAGTCGGCGCGACTCTCAGGTGGGATCTTAGGTCGCCAGAGGCCCGCGGGATCTCCAATGGGGTAAATTTTGCGGATCAAACGAGATCGATTTGTGGACCGATGGGCCTCTAGGGTCTTTCGGAGGCTGTTGGTAAAGACATCGGGAGTCTTGGCTGCCGTAACAGAGTTATGGAATGGACGAAATAGGTGAGAAGGGCGGATACGTAAAGGTAGGCTCGAAAGCTGCATAGCAATATCACGGCATTTGGAGAGAGTAAAAAAGGACACCGGAGTGGATGTTACCATGCCGAGGATGCATGCAGCTACTCAAGATTATTTTTGGCTCGCCTTTATTGGGAGTGTATGCCTCAGGCAACGACAAACCATGTGACGTTGTATCTTTTAACCAGTTTCAATTTTATATCGACAATATATCATCAGGGGGAGAGACTTCTTTTGATCATAATATATATTCTTTGTTACATCTAGTTCAATGCCCTTGAGACATGATTCCAGATACTTCTAGATCACAAAAAGTACATGCAAATATCGACATATGGAAAAAAAAAAAAAAAAGAAACCAATACAACATACATGACGTAGCACTGAGGAAATATCCACAAACCCCCCTACTTCGATCATAAAACAATTCTTCTATAGCATGACATATCTGAGAGTGTTGAATATCTCGTAGGTGAACCGGTTCCCAGGTCATTTCCTTGATAACCTCGATAAGACTTCACTTCACCGCTTGCCCCTCCATCCTTATTATCCCCCTGTTCCTGACATTGTGACATTGTTTCTTCCTTTACCTATCTCAAGCTTTTGATTTGACTCGTCCATGGCTTGCTTGCGATAGTCTATCTTATCGACTCACTACGAGGGTACCTTGATCTTCTTCCCGTTTCCAACTTTCCCACCGGATCTTGGTGCATGTGACAATTGCAGCCTAACTTTCACAGTCTAATTGCAACACCCCGGATCTCATCTTTGATCTTCCTATTAGCGCTGCTCGGCTGCTCGTCATGTCCGAATCAGAGAGCCCCGCGCAGGTGCCCGATGACCAACCAAACCCTGTCCTCGTTGGTCCTGGATTAAAGGCTCTCAAAAATGAAGCATATACCCAAGCGACAAATGCGACACCTAGCCTGGAGAAGATCTCGGGCGAAACCCCTTCTTATCTTAACAGTTTTCCGGGGACCAAGGCTGTAACTACCGACTCGCCTGATACCAAGTCGCAGCCAGTCCAGACTGCAGGGAGAGCATCATCCGGCATAGACCTGCTGCGTCGCTTAAGCTTGGCTTCAGACTGTCCCATGTCCCCTGATATTGATCCACGCATACAACACCCAGGACTTCGTCTGAGTGGCCGCCTAATCAGTGCTGCTTTCTGCATACCATACAAGCTCAACTTTCAATCGGGATCAGACTGGGTACGTGGATGAATTCTCTTTATCTGGGAGATTGCGTTGACTGACCGGATAATAGAAGCTCAAGTCGCGCTCCGGTACTTCAGCGCTGTTTGATTCATTTGCATATCTTGCATCGGATGAGACCTCTTGGTCACACACCTTAGTAGGCTGGACCGGAGAGGTTGAGCCTGATGTGGATATGAAATCACCCTTGCAGCAAATACATCCCAATTCTGCAGTCAACATACCTCCAGCCCCCAGTAGCCTCGTTGCCAGCCAGACATTGAATAAGGCTGCTGCGCCGGTCCCCGTGGATGGAACTAAGAAGCCACCCGCACATCCATTGGTCGAGGGGATTAGTGTCACCCAACAGGACCGAGAACGACTCGATGAACAATTGAGCTCAGGTCGCCATGGCCGGGTATTGCCTGTGTGGTTGTCAGATGCATCGGAAGAACCAGAAGAGACTATTTTGCTGAAAGACCAGGGGAGGTGGCGCCGTTATGCCGAACGGGAGCTGTACCCTCTACTTCACTACAAGCAGCATGGCCCAACAGATGGCCGATCTGAGCGACGGTGGTGGGCCGACTACGTGCGCCTGAATCAGTTATTTGCGGATCGCATCGTGCAGGAATATCAAGAAGGAGACGTGGTCTGGGTTCATGATTATCATTTGTTTCTTCTGCCCAGTCTGTTGCGGCAGCGTATCCCAAATATTTACGTGGGATTCTTCTTACACTCGCCTTTCCCCAGCAGCGAGTTTATTCGATGTCTTGCAAAGCGCAAGGAGATATTGGAGGGAGTCCTGGGTGCCAACATGATTGGGTTCCAAACATTTTCCTACTCTCGACACTTTACCTCGTGCTGCACGCGTGTTTTGGGCTTTGAGTCCAACTCTGCCGGGGTTGATGCCTATGGAGCTCATGTCGCAGTAGATGTATTCCCCATTGGCATCGACGCACGTTCAATTCAAAAGGCCGCCTTTGGGGCTCCAGATATCGAGAAGACCGTGTTGGGTATTCGCAAGCTTTATGCTGGAAAGAAAATCATCGTCGGCCGCGATCGGCTGGATAGTGTCCGCGGCGTCGCGCAGAAACTACAGGCTTTTGAAATCTTCCTGGAGCGCTACCCGGAATGGCGTGATAAAGTTGTCCTCATTCAGGTGACGAGTCCAACCAGCGTGGAAGAGGAGAAGGAAGACCCAGACAACAAGATTGCTGGCCAAATATCTAATTTGGTTTCAACCATCAACGGAAGATTTGGATCCTTGAGTTTCTCACCCGTCCAGTATTATCCGCAATACTTGTCCCCGCGCGAGTATTTCGCTCTGTTGCGTGTGGCCGATGTTGGATTGATCACTACCGTGCGAGATGGCATGAACACAACAAGTCTGGAATATATTGTCTGTCAGCAGACCAACCACAGCCCTTTGATTCTTTCTGAATTCTCCGGTACGGCAGGCACCTTGCCCAATGCCATTCACATCAACCCGTGGGATATGGTTGGGGTGGCTGGGGCGATCAACCAAGCATTGAATATGCCAGCCGAGCAGCGAAAGGAGCAACACCTCAAGCTATACAAGCATGTGGTAACCAACACAGTTTCCATGTGGTCCAGGCAGTACCTCAATCGTCTACTGACCAACCTTTCGTCCTTTGACCAATCGGCCGCTACGCCTGCACTCGATCGTGCAAAACTAATGAAGCAGTACCGCAAGGCTCGTCGACGATTATTCATGTTCGACTACGATGGCACATTGACGCCAATTGTCAAGGATCCTCAAGCGGCCATTCCTTCAGATCGGGTACTCCGTACTCTGAAGAGCCTGTCAGCCGACCCTCGAAATGCCGTGTGGATCATCAGTGGACGGGACCAGGCTTTCCTGGATGAGTGGATGGGCCATATCCCAGAACTTGGATTGAGTGCTGAGCACGGTTGTTTTATCCGAAAGCCTGGATCTGACGACTGGGAGAATCTGGCCGAGAGTAGCAACATGGGGTGGCAGAAGGAAGTGGTTGACGTGTTCCAACATTACACAGAGCGAACACAGGGTTCATTCATTGAACGGAAACGGGTAGCATTGACCTGGCACTATCGTCGCGCAGACCCCGAGTACGGTGCGTTCCAGGCTCGCGAGTGTCGAAAGACTTTGGAGGACACTGTCGCAAAACGGTGGGATGTGGAAGTCATGGCAGGTAAAGCCAATCTTGAGGTCCGACCAACATTTGTGAACAAAGGGTTTATCGCCACCCGGTTGGTCAACGAATATGGCACGGCCCCAGGGAAGGCACCGGAGTTCATCCTATGTTTGGGTGATGACTTTACTGATGAAGGTAAAAGATTTCTCTCACCCTGCTGAAATGGTGGATTAACACGCAATTAGACATGTTCCGAGCCCTCAAGAAGTTTGATCTACCACGCGACCACGTTTACTCGGTCACGGTGGGTGCCAGCTCGAAGCAGACCGATGCTAGCTGGCACTTATTGGAACCGGCCGATGTTATTGGATCAATCCAAATGCTTTTTAGTGCCAATCAAGATCACTGAGATTTGAAGGCCTAAACCCACTGATTACCCACAGCCTACATACGCCACGCTTCACCGGGAATCTAGTCTTGGCATTTCAGCTTCGACATGCCGAAATTTATCACACAGTGAGAAGATGGTTCTATTGCTAGCCATTAGTCTCATATTAAAGACAACCTATACAGCATTCCCCTCCAGGCTCCATGGTTTTAAGGGGGGAATAATGTTCTGTACCTCACGTCAAGGTCACCAGTTTTTGTATAGACTCACATGTATGTATGTACATGTTAGAAGATATTGGATTTGCAATGTTTATATGTGTACGGAGTACATACGGACTACATGTAGTGACTATCCGAGACAGCCGGTTTTGCGGGGACCCCGGGATTGCGCCATTTAAATGAGTTGTGGGGTTTCCTTAAGTATATAATCTAGTATCTGATATGTATCTAATATGTATATAATGTAGCATATCCGTGTATGCAGCTGTGTGCCGATATATCAGGGCTGTTCCAGGCAAAAAGGGTTAGAGATGAGTATCAAACCCTATATATCCCACGCTAGCCCTATACCCTATTAACCTCAATAAATTTTGATATCAAATCATATTGCAGATATATCAAACTATACAACGTGTATATATATATAAAGATTTATACAACATAAAGATACATAAACATACCTCGTTGAACACTTAAAAGATACATTCGGAAGTGGATCCATATGCCATGGGAAGGGCGCGGTCATCTCTGCGAATAGGCGACGATCGGAAGGATCCCCGTTTACAAAAATTTCCTCTTGACATTGAAACGGAATTTGATATTTTCGAGAGAAAGAGAGAGAGAGAGAAAGTACACTTCCCAAAGTTACAAGGAGATATCAAATATGGCCAATCTCCCCAAGAATGCCTCAATGACCGAACATGGAGTCCATGAAAAGACCGAGGTAGATCCAAGCCATACTCGTCACTCAGATGAAGAATCAAACTATGAACCCGACCTTTCCCGTTTGCCAACCAACACCAGTGTCTTGGAACGTACACTATCGGCGGTGCGCACTCGGGAATCTGGCAAAAATCTCGGGCCGCCCCCGGATGGCGGATTTCAGGCTTGGTCACAGGTTGCCCTCGCACATTTTGTTATCTTCAATACATGGGGCTATATCAATAGCTTCGGTGTCTTTCAGACATATTATTCCCAGACACTGGGACATCCACCCTCGGATATCTCCTGGGTTGGGAGTATTCAGATCTTTTTGTTATTTTTCATCGGTACTTTCTCCGGAAGAGCCACCGATGCCGGCTATTTCACATTTACCCTCGCCTGTGGTGCTACTCTGGAATGTTTCAGTATCTTCATGACCTCACTCTGCACGAAGTACTGGCAGCTATTCCTGGCACAAGGTGTTGGCCAAGGTATTGGGTGTGGACTCATGTTCTGCCCAACCTTGGCTTTGGTCTCGACTTATTTTGCCAAAAACCGTGGCATCGCTATTGGCATCGTTGCCTCGGGTTCTGCGACGGGGGTCTGGTCTTCCCGGCTGTTATCATGAAGATGCTACCCCAGGTCGGATATGGGTGGACAATCCGGACGCTGGGGTTCATCTCGATAGCCACGCTGACTCCCTGTGTCCTGTTCCTCAAACAGCGTCTTCCTCCACGCAAGAGTGGCCCAATTGTCGAGTGGGCTGCCTTTACCGAACTACCCTATCTGCTGTTTGCGATTGGCATGTTCATGAACTTCTGGGGGCTGTATGTTGGATTTTTCTACATTGGCAGTTTCAGTCGTAACATCATCGGCGTGTCAAGCGATCGATCGATCGATTTACTCCTAGTAATGAACGGAGTCGGATTGGTGGGGCGATTGGTCCCCAATCTGCTTGCTGATCAGTTCACCGGTCCTCTCAACCTATTGATCCCCTTCAGTTTCGCGACGGCCTTGGTTGGCTATTGTTGGGCGGCCGTCAACAGTATGCCCGGGCTGTGGACATTTGCCGCATGTTATGGCCTCTTCGCTGCGGGTATTCAATCATTGTTTCCAGCAACCCTCAGCACCCTCACGACTGATATGAAGAAGATTGGTGTACGTATGGGCATGGTACTCAGTGTAGTGGCAGTGGCAGCCCTTATAGGATCTCCCATTGCTGGTGAGTTAGTTGTTCGTGATGATGGCAACTACCTATATGCCCAAATGTTCATGGGATCTGCAATTTTCGTTGGCGGATTGACGTTGATTGGGGCCCGAGTGGCCAAGGTGGGCACTGGTCTGGTTCGAGTTTGAAAATACAACATAGTAAAAATATGATATGTATATATCTAGGATATACAATGATATACAATATATGATATATGATGAATGGTGTTAAATGATGAGATGTGAGAGATGTGGAAAGAGAGGAAAAAGGGATCCCCACATATGATTAATGAGAGCGCGCTGACTCGCGACTTTCCCTTTTCCACTTTATCTCATTTTCTGAACATTTGAAAGTAATTCAATTTGATATTCTACAGGTCAGATCGTGTCTGTTTTGTTTTCTTTTGATTCTCTCTCTGGCGCAGAAGTCGAAACTCCCCACCTTTTGCCCCTCCATTGTGTGCGAATTCCCCGAAACCCGCTAACTCGTTGATAGATATACATCGCCTGACCCTTCTTCTCCAATATTTCATCTATATCAATATGGCGCCTCGTGGTCGTGGAGGGAAATTTTCCAAGCCCTCTCGAGGAGGTATGTGGTGTGCGCCTGCAGACGAGACACTTCTGATCAGATAAATAGGCGGCAAGCACTTCAGCAGAGATCTTCAGCCATTAGACAAGGATGGTAACCAAATGGGTCTCTGGCGGGTAAGTGGACTTCAATCTCAACTCAATTTATCAACCGCACGCTGATGACATCTCTCACATAGGAGCCTGGTGAGCAGATCAAGTCGTCCGACGAAGATTCTTCGTCCGAGGAAGAAAGCTCCGAAGAATCCAGCGAGGACGAGGCCAAGCCCGCCGAGCCATCCACAGCCCAGGGAACCCGCGAGGAGCGTCGCGCGGCTGCTAAAGCCAAGAAGGCAGCCGCATTGAAGAAGCGAGGTCAAGGACCCGCCCAACCGGGTGACTTACCCCCTTCAGACTCGGAAGAATCCGACAACGAACTTCCCGCCAACCCCAATCATACTGCCAAGTCCCGCTCGCAGACCCTGAAGGCCGTCGAAACCGAGCCCACTGCTGAGCCCAAGAAACCTGCCAAGGTCAAGGATATCTCGCAATTGTCCCGACGCGAGCGTGAAGCCCTCCAGGCCCAGCAAGCCCGTGAGCGTTACCAGAAGCTGCACGCTGAGGGTAAGACCGACGAGGCGAAGTCGGATCTGGCTCGTCTCGCCATTATCCGTGAGCAGCGTGAGGCGGAGCGCCAGCGCAAGTTGGCTGAGAAGGAGGAGAAGGATGAGCAAGCCAAGGAGCGTGCTGATGCCGCCAAGGAACGGGAGGATCGTATGCGCGCTGCAGCTTTGGGAAAAACTTCTAAGAAAGTTGGCGGAAAGAAAAAATAAGCTGGTTTTGGTTTTATATGTGGTCATGACTTGGGTTGAATTGTTTACACATCTAGACAAGAAAAGCAAAAAACAAAACAATTGAGATACTCCTCACATTGGAAGTGATCAGGTAGTGAAGAATCAGCCCAATGTAAATTGAAATCATGTACACCGACGCCCCCATGACATTAGATAAACACCTCGTTTTTGGGGCTGGCTTTTGGGAGGATGCATAAGCCAGTCAGAAAGGAAGGGGGAAATTGTTCAAATTTCATACATGGGATTGCAATCCCAGCGAGACATAACCAAGAAAACAAGTCTATTTGCGGGGAGGTTGCTACTTCACACGCCCCAGAACAACCCCTCAACACTGCGGCCTTGCATGACAATGCCCCAACCGGCAATCAGGCTGACTAGCCACATAATGGCAAATATGAGAATGGGGACAAGCAAAAGTTCCGTGTTGTGCAAGAAGGGGAGAGCATTGTACCCCAGGAATGTAATGTAGGTGTAGTAAATGAGAGCAGAGAGGTAGAGTGAGTTTCCGAGGAAAGTAGCCAGGAAGTTACTCGGGCTACGGGTGAGGAGCGGCAAAAGGAGGAACTGCACCACGTAGAGGTGGAGATAGAGAGGGAAGAAGGCCCGGTTGGATACCTATACAAGCCCAGTGTCAGAAGATCAGAAGTTCTACCGGATTTGGATTTGTGGGGGTCTTACATCAAAACAATATCCAAACTCCAATTGGTCCTTCTCCCCTGGCTGCGTGAACAAGCCTTGAGCAGCACCTCGTCTTCGGCCACGGGATCCTCGCAGACCAGCTAGAGATGCGGCCGCGCCGTTTGGACCGAATAAATGACCGATGGTAAAGTATCCAATTGTTGAGACGAGCAGTGACGAGCCGATGAAATGCACGAACACGAAGAGGAAGGTCAGGCGTATGATTGCGCCGAACCCCGGCGTATAAGCGAGACCCCATGCAAAAGCTGTGAGGAGGAGGAAGAATGATAGTAGGTAGGTGAATGATGGATCAGGCCGATGCCATGTGTTTTTGGTTTCTGTTCAAATGGTGTCAATAGTGTTCAATTAGGGCGATGGTCACTGGCATTGCCAGGGCTGTATGCATGCTGTCTGTCGAACCAAGAAACGGAGCTGAAGCTGAATTATTCGACTTACGTTTCTAAAACCAAGGGCATGATCAGCATAGTTCGAGGGCCCAGTTAGGGTGGTCAAGCCCACTTACATGGTAGTATATCGATTTGAAGACTTTCTTGGGTGCGATCAACAATGAAGTCATCTCCCAAATGGCCATCTCAAAGTCCATTTGTGGAAATTTGAAGAGCCTATCCTACATCAGTGATTGCATCTCGCGTCGAGGTTCTTTGGTCCTACCTCTTGAAGAAGCGCGGCATGCGGACACTCGACCGGGTTGCGGGCGTGGAGCCGAAGTTGGCCGACCCGGCATGTTGGCGGGGAACAGAAATGTGAGGATTCATGATCATAGACCCCGTTTTCGAGAGGGGATATCTCGGAGCATACACAATGCAGTCCGGTTGTTGTACGTGTATCCTGGGGATGCTGGGCAGTTGGGCCCGGTTATGTCATCTTGATCACGTGCTGGGTATATCTCCCAAGGTCGTTTCTTATTTGACATCTGATACCTGTTGTATGTTTTTATTTTCCCGATATATGTGAAATATACCCCTCGTCTGCTTGAATCTGAAGCCCAGATCGTAATGGATATGTACCACTTCTTCCCAAGTGTCATTCCTGGAAATTGTTCCCTTTCTAGAGAATCCACTCTGTAAGGGGTTGGATAGTCACATAGTTAAGTATGAGAGAGATATTGTTGGAGTAGGGAGCCTTATATGTCTATGATACTCTTCAGCTATATACCACATAGAACTTATACTTCATTGATGTCAATAGCCAGATTAGTCCTCCGTCCATAGTATACATTCTCTATTCACCACGGAAGTCATCCGATATAGCTCCATCCCCACGGCTCCACTTGTGTACTTTGGGCATATTGCATGTTGTACGGAGTACACTGTGGAGGAAATATCAGAACAACATTGATATATGATGGTATGGATCTTGAACTCCATCTAATGGATACATATTACTCCATAGGCGCCTGAGTTATTCAGGTAGAAGATATAAAATAAGTACTAAACACACTGAGGATGAAACCCCTGAATGTACCAAAGGCAGACCCTAAACAGTAATTTCCCCTGGATGATTTCTAGTTTCATAGTCTCACTGTATATGTTTTGATATATTAAAATAACAATATATATATATATATATATATTAGAAGGTGTACAATATACTACCCCCAAGATATACATATAAATTAGTCCCACAGTTCACCGGAGGTTAAAAGTTCCCGTGAAACCTCCAATTCTCAGGAGTCTCCCCAGTTTCTTCCCAAGCTCTCTCTCTCTACACTACTTCGCCCTACCTTTTACATTCTTTTTTTTTTTTCCCTTTTTTTCTTTATTCTTTTGCAAAAAAAAAAATCCCTTGCTTTGCGGGACAATGACCAAGTGAATTAATTACCATCTAATCCGTCAAAGCGGATACAGGTTGAACCTATATTGTACTTATCTAGAGACCTGATACCCGGTACGTTACTCCGTACAGACCTCCGGCCCCGATTCCCCTGGATTTGTCGGGATCCTGCCATCCCCCTCGCATGGATAGGCTAGAAAACAAACCATTGAACTTCTATTAGTGCGATAATGTCCCAACAGGAAGCGTACTCTCCTCCTCGTACACCTCCCTCCCAAACTGCGAGATACAAGCCTTCCAAGCGTGCATACCCAACTCGACCATCCATCCGTGATGCCTTTCCAGACGTCATGGACAACCCCCCGAGAACCAGTGAGTCGGGAGATGATCGAGACCCGCATGATCTGTCTCTATCTCCGCAACATGCTACACGGACGTCAATTGTCGACAACATGCTTCTTTCGCTCGATCAATTTGCCCCCAGTTCGTCTGTTTTAGACGACTACCGTCTTTTCAATTCCGCCTTCGAAACCGACCGGCACAGTCATTACTCCCAAGAATCTGATTCGCACGGCCGGTACCGCGGACACACATTCTCCTCGTCAATGTCCTCGGAACAAGACTACGGATACGAAGATGCCAGTGGCCGCTACACAACAATTACGGCAACCAAGGGCCGACGCAGCAACAGCAGTTCTAATCACCAGACGACGCCGAGGCAGATGGGAAGCTCGCGCGGTGGTACCGGAACCATGCCACGAACGAACACTGCCCGAAAAGGCAGTAAAGGAAGCTCAGCATCCACTGCAGACTACTCATACACAATCCCCAGAGTACGATTGGATCAAGGCTTGGATCGACGCTCGGCCAGTTTCGACTGTGGACCAAAACGAGCGTTCGCATCTTATACTGATGCCAGTGTCGGTCAGGACTCGACGCTGTACGACGATCACGATGCTGCACCCACCCCGAGTGTCCCGGCAGGACCGCGAAAGGCTCACGATTACAATAAGACATCGACCACTGCCGCTACACGGACGCCGGTAGCATCGCGACGGAACAGCATGAAATCTGCTCATGCCCCTCAAGTTCGAAAGGTTCGACCCGAAAATATCGGCACGGGGACCCTCCGAGCTCCTCGGGACAACGAGTTACAAAATATGGATGAGACAGAGCTTGACCTGCCTCCGGCCATCACGGCATCGTTGGATCCTCCTGCCCCTAGCCCGACCATCTCCTACAACAAGCCGGCATTTCCTCCCCCTGAACCAACAGCACCTACTCCGATCTCAACTAATGTACCCATCAACTATTCTGCTGCTCCAAGCACAAAAGAACGCCCGGGTTTCTTCCGGCGCGTCTTTGGATCTAAGACTGCAGCCCCTGCACCTGCAGATACAGCAAGTATAAAAGCGAACGATCTGTCACACTCACAAGAAACTGTGAGTAGAGAAATCAATGGGACAAGTGCAAACCTAAAGGGACGACCCGCGCAAGCAACTAAGACATCTGCTGGTGCTTCTCCGTCCTCCGTTCGCACAGGACCCCATCAGGTCGTCAACAAGAAACCTTCATTCTTCCGCAGAAGGAAGAGGTCGGTGCCTGACCACGCTCCTCCGCCAATTGTAATCCCTCAAAATCTTGCACCACAAACCATGGATACCATGGCGGCTCCAAGTCCCGTGAGCAGCCTACGGCAGGTCATGAATCCTTACCTCGACGAGGAATTAGACCGAAAAGAAAATGCGGACTGGGAGGCCAAGATTCGACAACCGGCATTTTTGCAGGCTCAGAAGAAAAGAGAAAGTGTCTCAGCTCCTGGGGCTCCCAAAACGCAAGCTTCTCTTCAGCCTTCTGCTGCCTCTCGTGACCAGGACCCCTCACCACTTGCAGAGAAGGATAAATCTTTAAATGGTGACGTCTCCACGGACTTTGCTTTGGAGGAGAAGTCGCAGAATGTTGCTGCCTCTGCTACTCTGTCCCCCGTCGTGGAAGATTTCTCGCGCAGCATCAAATCACAGGTCGAAGTTTCTCCAAGTAATGTAGCTACATTAGCTCTTCCATCTGATGGCGTGGTTTGCGAATCTCCCGTTGATTCCATATCAACAGCATCAAACTACCAGACCGCCACGAACACCCCGCTTATTGACCAAGAAGAGCCTCGACTAGTCGATGACAGCGAGGACCAGAAGGATGGACCTGGCGAAGCTGTTGAAGATGGACCAACAGCTGCGGACCGAGAACAAGCCCAAAGGCTCTTTGACAGCCAAGATCAGGTGGTGGGTAACGAGCCTGCTGCCGCTTGGCTGGGTGACCCTGACCGGGCAATGGTTCGCGAAGCATACATGCGACTGTACAACTGGTCCAATCTCAACATTGTTTCCTCTCTTCGAGCTCTTTGTGATCGGTTGGTGCTCAAGGGAGAAACCCAACAGGTGGATCGAGTGCTGGATGCCTTTTCGACCAGATGGTGTGATTGCAACCCGAGTCATGGCTTCAAAGCTACTGATGTTGTCCATACCATTTGCTATTCTATTCTGCTCCTAAATACTGATTTGCACTTGGCTGATATCGATTCAAAGATGACAAAATCTCAATTCGTTCGCAATACCATGCCCACTATCCACCGAGTGGCAATGGATGCTGCGCCGGAAAAATTCGAGACGTTGCGTCCAGTCAACCGCTCCAAGACCCAACACCATGAAGCGCACTCTGTCCCTACATCCGCACGCTCTGCGACTTTCCCTTCGGAGCTCAGCCGCAGCTCATTTGACAAAGATACCGATGCCAATGTTGATGCGGGGCCTTTGGTTAACACGCCATTCACCGGAACAGTGAGAGCTTGGGAGCAGCAGGTTGAAACAGTACTCAAAGAGTTCTACACATCCATTCAAAAGGAGAGACTTCCACTGTTTGGTGCTCAACCAGAACGTGAAGTATCTCGCATGTCGTCCAACAACTTTTTGGGCCCCTCTAGCGGCACTCTTCGTAGGAGTCCCAGCACCATTAGCAAGAGCGGTTCCGATATCTTCCCTCGCGGTCGTTCTGCTATATCAAGCCACGGAGCTGCGCGATGGTCATCCAAACCCCGCTCTCGAGCTGGGAGGCTTTATCCTCCTTCAATGATGGGCTCCAGCCGCACCAGCCTAGACGATCAATCAGTCTGCAGTCCGACTGGGTCTAGTACCTGGAGCAAATACTCTTTGGGTAAATTTACTTCGGCGTCTGTGGACTCTTTTGGCTCAGATTTCCCTCGCGGCGAATATCAACAGTCTATTGGTTTTGCCAATGCTCTGAGTCAGGCCATCATTCGGGAGGACTCTGCTACCTCGGTATACAGCTATGAGGAACCTGAGCGAACGACCCCTCTGCTCGAAGATGACTCGTTGGCTCTAGCCGGCGCCCCGTGGGCCAAGGAGGGAAGCCTGAAGCACAAGCATCACCTAGATGCGGTGGACAAACGAGCGAAGGACCGGAACTGGAATGACTGTTTTGCGGTCATACAGCAAGGCTGGATGCGTCTGTTCTCGTTCAGCAATCCCACTAAGTCGATGCGGCAAAAGTCTAAACAGCGCGGAGGAGTCGTTGTCGGTGGCGGGAACTGGACAGAAAATGCCGAAGAGCTTTGGAAGTTCATGCTGCGCCAAACCATCGCCAGTGCCTTACCGTCGCCTGGATACTCTAAGTCTCGTCCCCACGTCTGGGCCCTAAGCTTGCCCACTGGGGCCGTTCATCTCTTCCAAGCTGGAACACCTGAGATTGTCCGAGAATTCGTCTCCACTGCAAACTACTGGAGCGCGCGTCTATCCAAGCAACCGCTGGTAGGGGGAATCAGCAACATCGAATATGGATGGAGTGACGGTGTCATCAACAGCGCGCTGATCGGCGGTGAAAGTCGATCCCCACCGCCTTCGTCAGGCGCCCGACCGAGCATTCAAAGTTCAATCCGAAGTTCTATCGATCATCAGGGTGTGCGACCTCGTCTTCCTGCGGACCGGGTCAACATCAGCGACTGGAGCCCACCGCAACAAAGCATGGTCGCCTCCAATCTGACAGAGGAGGAACAGTGGCAGGCTCTGCAGGCCTACGTGCAGAATGTGGAAGATGATCTTTCTCGTCACAATGAGCTGCGTTCCGCGATGAACCTTGCATTCTCTCCACGTCACCCCAACGCCGCCAAAGCCATGGCAAACTGGGAACGGAAATCATCGTATCTGTTGCGTGAGATCGTCAAGTTCCGCACCTACATTGATTCCCTACGCAACGCCATCAACTCCAAAGAGAGGATTTTCGCTTCAAATACCAACTACTCCCAAGTGAGCGAAGATGCAACCATCGAGCCTACGGAGGCTGCAGCATAATTGCACACGCTTCCTCTCCTTGAATTCGAATACAACGACAACCGGCTGTACATACCTCTTTTGGGGAAAGACCATGATACATACTTTCAAAAGTGACCTGACAACTTGTTCTCTTATTTTTGTTTTGGCCAACTTTTTGTTGGATACAACCTTCTCTAGTATACCTTTTTTCCTTCTACGATTTTGTGACGGCGTGGATTACTGATTCTTTCCGTTTAATGCTTGGGACGGTGATGCGATGCTATGGATACCATGATTGTCGCTTTTACATATGAATATTACCGATTTGTATATTTTTACAGGTTGTTCCTTGTGTACGTGTGAGATGTATGGTTGAATGATTTCTATGCGTGGTATTAATGTATTTGGTATGCATAATGTGTGGCAATACTTACTATATGATTGTGCCTGGCCGTGTCCATACTGTTGTATCCACGCATCACGCATCTATGCCAATTGCTCTTGCCAGATGATTTTCAGATCTGTTCGAAATTGTAATTTAGTTCATTCTCACTTGATGTCAATCTCACATCAGCTTCTCTCTCAATCTTCTCTAACTTTTTGATACAACATACAACATACATCCAAAAAAAAAAATACAGATGAGCGCTCATTCGCCGATCGAAGCGGGTAGCGAGATGCAGGGAGTGGATACCCAAACACTGGGCGTCATCTCCCCCGTAACAACAGTGCGCACCTCTGTGTCGGCATTCCAGACGCCAGATCAGACCTTGAATGATCTCAGTTCAGAATACTTCATGGCAGAGGACGCACCGGGGGCTCTCCCCCAAACTCGGTAACACAGTCCCAATCTGAATACGCGCAAACAACCCCTTCAGAGCCGGATCACGAAGACCAGGACCACGAACATGACCCTGAATTTACCATGACATCGACACAACTAGATCTAGATGATCATAGCTTTATTCCTTCATTAGTCGACCGCGACGAGAGCAGTCTATCTCACCCATCGAGCGAAAATGGTGACCACGAACGCGGCAATAACCAAACCCTAATCGAAGAGCGCGAAATGCGTCGCAAACTGATGGACATTGAATCGAGCTTTCTGCCGGAGCCTTCGACAATTGATGTGGCTGCGACCGGTCCGACTGCAGGCGTGGATGATACTTACCTAGTTGGGGTTCCAAAGAATGACGCTGCCAACATGACACAAGACTCCCCACAGCTCTCATTCATTAAACCAGTCGAGGAAAATCCAGTGGAAAACGAGGAACACAGCGAGAAGGAGCGCCAAAGTACAAATTTGGACACGGCACCTGGCCCTGCAGAACAACATGCGGACGATTCATTGCTTGACTCCCTCTCCTCATCGCCTACGGCAGCTGCAGCGCTGCGCCGAACTCAATCCATATTGCCCGACAATGCCCTTGAGACTAGCCAGCCCTCCCAGGATGAGCGCCCCTTCCGATCTGAATTTTCCATGGCCGAGAACGAATCGCAACTCACTCCCTCGAAGCTTCAAAACACCTTACGCAGCCTATCGCCCGATACGTCGCACCTATTTAGTGACCAGAGCGGCAGTGCTTCTGGCAGTCGCAGGGCTAGCCGGCCTAAGTACCTGACTAGTCGACAATCATCCCATCGTCTCTCACACTCCTCGGTCGCAAGTAACAACACCGAACTGACCAATAGCGATGCCACGCTGGGCGCGGACTATGCCCTTCAAACTGGGGGTGCAACATCTGACAACTACGGAAGTCTGCACCCTGGAAGCCGTGCGCAGATCGCCAGGACAACCAGTCTCGGCAGCATGGCATCTGGGATTTCCGGGTACAGCGAAGAAAATCCACTTGAGAAAAGGAATACACCTGGTCCAGTGGACGGTGGCCTACATACGCTGGCGGAGGAAGGCTCACCACATTCTCCTGCTGGCCCTGCTGACCATGAAGACACCTCGACACCGGTGACACCAAAGGCGAAGTCACAAGACAGCAATGTCCCTACCGAGACAGCAATTGCCGAGCGAGTCAAAGGCATTCAAGTCCCTACCACGTTCGCACAGCGGTTCCGAGAAGATTTCCAGGCATCCCCGGATAAGCGTTCGGGGGGCTCGGCCCCTGCCTTTGCGAAAAGTGGCCGGAACTTGACCCTCAAAGAACAGAGCAGCACCATTGATCGTTTGGCAAAGGAGAACTTTGACCTGAAAATGCGAATCCACTTTCTCAATGAGGCGCTGAACAAGCGATCCGAGGAAGGCATCAAGGAGATGATCTCGGAGAATGTTGAGCTCAAATCAGACAAGGTCAAGCTCTCGAAGGACAATCAAAGCCTAAGGCGCAAGGTTCGGGACTTGGAAAAGCAAGTAAAAGATCATCAATCGGACAAGGATTCCATGGTCAATCATGACCCCGAAGGATCAGAGGACGGTGATCGTGACTCGGCCCAAGACGAAGAGATCGTCTTCCTGCGCGAACGGGTTGAAACCTATGAGCTGGAAATTGAACGCATGAGATCGGAAACCATTGCACGGGAAAGTGAGAAGCGTCGGTTGGCTGAGATGGTCAAGTCGCTTAGCGATAATCGCGCGGGGGAGTCCGATGCAGGCGCGAGAGAAGAGCGAGTGAGTCAGACGAACACAATCAAGTCAAATCCAAGCTAACTATCGATGTAGGAGATGTGGAAGGATATGCTTGACGCAGAAACCTCAGCGCGAGAGCAAGCCGAGGACGAAAACCGAAGACTTCGGGATGAGTCAATCCGTTTGCGGAGTGAGATGTATTCTGTCACCAAGCCTGGCCAATACGACTCTCCTTCGTATATGTCTGATAGAGATGGCAACCGAGTTCCCACGATTCCCAACAGCACCCTTGTTGTAGAACTGGGGCTGCTGAAACAGGAGAATGCAGAGCTAAGAAAGGAAGTCAGTGCTCAGACTTCAATGCTCACATCTCGCAATCGAGAAAAGGAACGTCTTTACCAGGAGATCGAGGAGCTGAAGCTTGGAGAACGTCGTCATGTTGGCCGATCCATAGCTGGAGACAGTATCTTTGACCGTTCCGCCTCGCGCACTCATATCCGACCATCGTCTCAGGCTAGCGACGGAACAGGTATGTCACGCAGTGACATGGACCGCGATGAACTCGATGCCCGGAATGGACAACTTCGGGACCTAGTGTCGACTCTCAAGCTTGAGAATCAAGCCATCCGAGCCGAACTTGAGGACTATATTGGAGAACTAGAGGCCCTCGATAAAGCATACCAGGCTGACGTTGACCAGGCCGAAGAAGAGATGCAAAACCTACAGCAAGAACGAGACCAGGCCGTGCACATGGCAAACGAACGAGATGCCGCTTTCCAGGACCTACGGGCCGAGGCACAGGAAGAGTTGGATACACTTGGGGATGAACTCGACCAGAAGATTGTTGAGTGCCAGCGCATGAATGAGGACCTGAGAAACCAGGACGAAAATCTTAGGGCTTTGCAGGCTGAGATGCGATCTGCCAGCGAAGGCATCATCCGTCTCGAGGAAGATGCACAGAACAACCTAAGCGCATACAAGTCTGTACAGCAAGAGCTTGAGGAGACCAATCGCGAGATGGAGTCTATGGAAAAGAGCCTGTTTGAGGCCAATACCAAGGTGCAGCGGCTGACGGTACAGATTGAGTCGAGCCAGAATGAGATTGCTTTCCTTCGCGAAGAGCAAGACGGCGATAAGATCCGCATTGGAGACCTCGAGTCGGATCTCAAGAACTATCACATGAACCTTGTTAGTGAAAAAGAGAAGACTAGAGAGCTCGAGCAGCGACTGGCAGATGAGCGTCACCAGCGAGAGGTAGTTGGAAGCAAGGAGAAGCAAGATGTCCAGCGTATCATGAATGAATTGAACCGCGAAGCTTCAGCGTCCAAGGAAGAGGTCCGACGTCTGAAGAAGAGCCTTTCAGCCCAGGAGATTGAAACCTCCACCTGGCGGGAACGGTTAATGGACCTCGAAAATAATTTGCGAGAAACTCTAGGTGATCTTAGTGGCAGTCGGTCTAGCCTGATCACCAATATCATGAAGCTGCAAAAAGAGCTTGAGTCGACCGCCCTTGAATTGGAGAGTATCCGCTCGCAGCTAGATGAAAAAGAATCTCTGCTTCGAAACCGTGACGCTCTGCTTGAGAGTCATGGGCTTGAGTCACGCAAACTTTCGGAACTCTTGGATCGCGAACGACACGCGCGCCGAGCCGACAAGCAGTCATTTGAGTCGTCACTGAAATCTCATCAGCAGGCATCTCGGACCATCACGCAGAGCAATTCCCGGATCACAGATCTGGAAAAAGCGCGGACCGAGGACCGCAAAAGATACGCATCGCTGGAACAGCAATTCAAGGATCAGCTTAGCGAGAGGAACACCATGTTCCTCAACATTTGGAAGAGAATATCTGGGCTTTGCGGGCCGGATTGGGCGCACTCTAACAGTCTTATCAATGGCAATCTCCCAAGCCAGGAAGTCATTGGTAATATTTTGTTCTGGCCGGGCTTCAGCCGCAACCTTCTGCTTGCAATGAAGACTGTGGAGACTGTAATGGCGAGTTTCAAGACTCGCATCAAGAGCATCGACCACGAGTTGACCAAGCGTTATCACACGCTTGAGCTCTCATATAATGGCCGGATCAAAAAGCTCGAGCGCCTCGAAGAGGCTTTGAAAAATATACGATCTGGCCGCGGACAGTCGAGCTCCACGCCGGAGATGTCTAAATTACGTGGCGAAAATCGTCTGCTCAAGGCTGAACTTAATCTACTTCAATCCAACTCGCGAGGGCAGGGTCCTGCATCTGCAGCTGCGGCTGCAGTCATGGCATCAGGACCTCGGTCTCCTTCTTTGGTATCAACAGCAGAGTCTGAACGATCCCTGGGGCGTTCTAACTCTACGGCTGGCACTGAAAGACCTCGCCCCGACAAAGGCCTCGCTCGCAGTGTTACGGGACTTCCGCAGCCCTCTCACTCCTCTTCTAGCAGCACCCTGACCAACAACAATGCTGGAACGATGATACCCCGCACGCGCAGCTCGCACAGTGGCTGGGATGTTGGTGACGAGAAATGGATCCACAGGCTGCATGAGCTGGAGAAGCGACTCAAATCTGAACGTGAAGGTCGCCTCTTAGACCGCAGTGGCGCTCGCAAGCGACTCGAGGAGCGCGATGCTGAGAACCAGAAACTTCGAGATCAGCTTAGCCGGGAACGCACGCGGCGCGGACCTTCAGGTTCCATTGCCGATAGCAGTCGTAACCGCCCTCCTGTTTCGGATGAGGCTCCCAGCTCCAGTGAAGGGGAGGGCATCACCGTCGACATTGAAGTTTGATTTTTCTTGTGGTGTGCAGTTTTCTCCTGTACTATATATACCCACCGTCTGTTTTGTGTGTTTCGCTTCTATCACACCTATCACATATGCTTGTAATGATCATTCACGAGGGTCATGAGACGAGGAAAGGCGTTTTTATCTTATTGGGGGTTACATTAACTTGTTGATGGATTGTCGGGATTTTTGAGGCATCTGTCTTTTTTGTTTCGTTGTACTTTATACACGTTCATATGCTTTATCAAGACGAGTCCAGCCTTTTGTATGATACATTCCAATCTACCGCAACGATACCTTGAGCGAGAAATCCACGATCCCTGTACCTTGATGGATCGAGCTGGTAGACAAGATATCGATATCGGCACAGACATACCCCGGCGCATTCTCTTCCGTCAACCCACCACTCACCTCAATTAAGAAAGCCTTTTTTGAAACCCATTCGCGCTTGAGCTGCGCCGCAGCCTCCTTCACTCCCTCGGGCGTAAAGTTATCCAACATGATAATATCAGCTCCAGCCCCGATCGCCGCATTAGCCTCCTCCAAACTCCGACACTCAACCTCCACCTTGGTTGAGAAGCCGCCAGTAGCCTTGGCCGCCTGCACAGCGCGCGGGATTGCGGCCGCAATAGACTCAATTGACGATGGGTCCGCAACACCCCCGTCTGCCGCAGCCCGGTTGTTGGCACACGCCCAAACGTGGTTATCCTTCAGCATGGTCATTGAACTCAAATCATGGCGATGTGGGTCGGCGCCGCCAGCAAGCATCCCGTATTTCTCAACAAGCCGGAATCCAGGCGTTGTTTTCCTTGTACCAGCCAAGATACCGTTCCATCCTTGCGCACGTAGCGCAGCGAGCATGGAGGCGCTCTTGCTGGCGATACCCGAGCAACGTGCGAGAATGTTTAGCGCCACGCGCTCGCCGAGAAGAATCTTGCGGATGGGGCCGCGGACGGTTGCGCAGTGCTGGATTGGGGTGATGGCTTCACCTTCTTTGATATGCCATTCGATTCTGGATGGGTTAGAGGGGTAGAGTATGGTTGAATTGGTGCCGGGGAGTGGATAGAGTGGCTTACGTGCAGCCCAGTTGCGAGAAGACCTCGTCAAAGAATGGTACACCTGCGACGATGCCCTGGAGTTGATCGGTGAGTATTCTTGTGAGAAGAATTCGAGTTTCCTATCGAGCCAGATTGCTTTACCTTGCTCTTTCCTAGTAGTCGGGCCTCGCCCTCTGACTCGCCGACGACAAACCCGCCATAGTCCAGGCTAGGGCAGTCCTCTTCCAGCCAGGACGTTATGAAGCGTTTGTAGTTGCCAGGCAGTAGATGCCGTAGATCTCCATGAATTGAGGCCATTGTGAGTAGAGGCAAACTATGTCAAGGAAGTGTCGATCTGCGAGTTCCAAGTTCCCCGCGCGGGGGCTGAAGAGGCTCGGGTTGGCCCGGCGTCCTTCCGATGGGATCACGTGGGAGTCGTCTGAAGAGTTCCATCGCCAGCCTGATACTCTCCAACCGAAAACAATCTCAAACAATCCAAAAAAAAAAAAAAAACAACGATATATTAATATGATTGATTGGGACTAAACTAGACTATACATTAGACTATCGTACCATATCGATAATTATAGGCCACCGCCTGAGTTATATATCCGTAACTCCAGTGGATCAAGATGTTAGTCTATACAACACACGGGAACACGGCACACTAAGATCGTCGTTTGTTCCATTTTAGAAAACAGCTTTCTAGTTCTAGGTACGGTACTATGTATGTACGAAGTACAAAAAGAGGAACCCGAAAAACACGGGCCGAGGATCCGGGACATTTTACGGAGAAGTTGGCTTCGGCAATTTGGTTTTTGGGATTTGTGTACTCCGTATAACCCGTGACATAATGCCGAGGTTCAATACACTGTCTCCACTGTCAAAGAAAAACAGAACACTCCAAGGTACACTCATGTGGATACTCTATGAACATTCAATCCTTCCACGCCTTGTAAAGAGTCTTGCAACCAAAGATCTGACCCTTCTTCAGTAGGACCATGGACCGCCATTCAGGCTCATTAATCGCATTCACGTACCGGCTAGGTTCCACACAGAATCCAGCCCCCTCGTGGTGCGCCGGCGCACCATTGATCGACGGCACATCGATGTACTTGCCCGTGTAGAACTGGAATGCAGGCTCGGTGCTGTGCACCTCCAGATGAAGGCCCGTGCTTGCATTGCTGAACTGCGCCAGGCGGCGCAGAGGCAAGCCACGGGTGTCCAGTGGAATCTTGCTGGGGTCAGACTCCAACACGAAGACGTCGTCGATGTGTGCGCCCGTTGCGGTGAGTGTGAATGGGGTGGTCACATCGCGGGGGAATTTGGCAATCCCACCGGTTGGGATACCGGTGCTATCGAGGGGGAGATAATCCCCTGTCGCGAGCTGGGCAGTGGTGCCCGAAATATCGGGGCCATCGCCGATGTTGAAGTAGCTGTGAGAGAGGGTGTTAGTGGGAAGAGCACTCATTTTAGGATGTGTCGTCATCCACTGCGCGCAATGAGGGCTAGAGAATATTTTTATTTTTTACCTGTGGTTGGTGAGGTTGACGACCGTCTCCTCACATTCATTGCCAATGAATTCGACTTCGTACTCGGCCGTCAGCACGGTCTTGGCATCCTCCTCCTTGCTGGCGGTGTACCACACGCGTACCTCGACAGTACCAGGGTACCCCTCCTCACCATCTCTGCAGAGGTACTTGAACAGCAAGGCGTCGTGACCGTGACGTTGGACCGTATGTGGACCATCAAAAACACGTTTCCCCCAACCCTTCTCACCCCCATGCAGGGCATTGGGACCGTTGTTCTGGGTCAATTGGATCTTCTGGCCATTCAGATCTTGAATCAGACCGTCCTTGATGCGATTTGCAACGCGGCCGATGGTGGCACCGTAATGCGGGGAGTTGTGCTTGACATAATCCTCTTGCGTGGGGAAACCTAAGACGATATTCTTACCGCCCACACGGAACTCTTGGATGATGGCGCCCAAAGGCAAGAAGGTGAATGCAGCTAATTCGGGCATGATGGGTTGAGTTTTGATTCGATTTTCCACAGAGGAAAGTTCCCTCTTTTTAGGGTCGACATGACGTTGTAACCCCGCAACGGGATGAATCACCGATGACACCTATTTTTTTTTCTTCTTTAGCATAAATGATGTTTTCAAGACATTCAAGAGGCATAGCCCTGAGAAGGTCTCCATTTTTATCAAGGTGATTAGGCTAAAGCAGTCTTGAACCCGGTTGAATTAGGGTAAAACTCAACTCGTGACTTCCAAGCTATCAGACTATCAGACTATCAAACCATCAAATCCTCAAAACTATATATCAAACTCTCCCAAAAATAAGATCAACGTATCCAGTTGGTATTTAGGTACTTTACACATTACGCATAGAGCGGACATAGCACGTCGGCGTTAGGGTAAGTCAGCATCCGGTCGGAGGGGATGAGGTCCGGCGTCCGAAGGATTCTATACCCCGGACTCGTGTCAGCCCATAGAAAAAAAAAAAAAAAAAAAGGGCCAAGGATTGATAATGAGCAGGTATCCCGTATAAGATTATAAGATTATTGGATATTAAGATGTTGATTGCAAAGGAGGGTTGAGGTTGAAACGAATACGAATACATCGATGATATATAACGCATCAAAGTTAATATACGCAGAGTAATATATACATTTATAATCTACTCCGTAGAGGTTTCTAATCTCAAATAGTCCGGACATATAGTCGGAGCATTTGGCCCGTAAAGGGAAACCCGGGATTTCGGCGACTTTGAAAAATCAAATAAAATGGCTCAGTGGAGATTAGAAATGGAAGCTGAGTCAAAGATCAATAATCAGCTGGCCGAATTATTTCCGTAATAGGACGGCATTTTACTCCGATCTTGATCTTTGGGTTTTTGATCTAGAAGATATGATTTCCTTTCAATTAGATGACGCCCTTTTGAATCAAAAAATAAAATAGAAACACCCCCCATACTCCAAATTCCCCCGAAACCCCGAAACCCCGAAACCCCGAAACCCCGAAACCCGGTTCACTGTACAAGTAATATTATCCCCAATTGCGCCTGAACCCAAAAGATCTTGCGGGGGAAAATAGCCCCAAAGAGAAGAGAAAGCACATGTAATAGTATACATGCATCACGTCATACGGCGTTAGAAAAAAGAAAAAGAAAAAGAAAACGAAACGAAAGGCTCAAATCGAGGTGATCTCCGTAGGATTGGGATTGAGGAATTGGTTGAAATCCTCATAATCGTTCTTGGAATCCAGATAGGATCCTTGAGACAAGCAGTTCATAGGTGCCGGGCGATTGAACATGGGGGACAACTGTTGATCGTCAAATGGCAGATTGGAGTAATCCGTAGACATCAGATCCATCTCATCGAACGGATTGAAGCCGTTACTAGGCCATTGCTGTGGACCCTGTAAAGCCAGTGGGTTGACCACCCCTTGCATGGACATGGGTTGGGTAAACTGTGGAGTGTTGGGCATCTGAGGTTGAGGCTCGGTCTTGATGGGCGCACGGGTCGTGGGACTATACGTCGGGGGTGTGGGGGGCATATGCTGGGAGAAAGCATCGGACGAGAAGCGCGAGCGGGCCACTGGTGATTGCGGGCTATCGGAGCCACCGTCGGAGGATTCCTGGCGTTGCATGCCGGCATTGGTATGCCAGAGATCCTGCTGAAGGGCTTCGGGGTTTTCTTCGAAGCGTTCACCCTTGGAGCCGTCGAGAGCACCGAGGCGCATCAGCAGGTCGTGAGTGAGGGGTGCCCGTTGGGTTCGAGTTTCAACTGCTCGCCGGGCCAGCCTTCGCCTTCGATGTTGCGTCGATATAGTTCCTGAAGGCCATGGACCAGCCAGGATTGTTGCTGTTCTAGCATCTCAACGTATCTAGATCGAAGACACGTCGGGTTAGGGCGAATGTTCTCTTTTCGGTTCTGGGGATAGCTTCAGCTTACCCCTTGGGATACACTTTATCATGCGCCTTCTTACGCTCTCCAAAGACACAGATAGCATTATCTGCCCGACACCGGGAACACGGACTGGATCCGTCACACCGTTGGGGGATCAGCGTCTGTCCACGATGCGACCCTGCTCTAGATATATACATACCTTGGATTTCTTCAGACGACACCGATCGCATGCTTTGCATACTCTTTTCCGAACATTGCTATCCGAATGCGAGTCCGACGTTGGTGTTGATTGGCGAGCTGCCATTGTGAAATGATAGATAGAGAGAAGGAAAGAAGGGCGAGATTGGAAGCAGCTATACCTTCGACGAAGGATCGACGTCAAAGGTCAATGATATAATGATGTTAATCATTCAAGGGTCATCAAATAAAGTAGACGGATGCAGATAGTAAATCCTTGGGACGAAGCCAAAATGAGTCCAAAGGTCATGGGCAGATGTGCCGATTATAACCAAAACTTGAAAAAATGGGAGAAAAAAAAGAATCCGACTTTTTCTTCTTTAGGGATTTTTCCCTTGATTTTCTGTTTTGGGTTTTTCATCCCCAAGTCATGAACGTATACAAATCAAGATCGACCATCGGAAGATCATTCAAAATGACAGTACCGTGCAAATACCTCCAAAATTACAGGATGAATCGGCATTTGGCTGACGGAGCTCGGAGACTTCAATGGACTATACTTCCGGCCTGCCTATCTCCCCCTAATGTATAACAAGTCATCCTGTATAATTCGGTCTTGGCAGAGTATAAAACCGCAAATCGGCAAGCTTATGCCGGTCAACGTGTTGACTTGCTTACTTTCTATAATTCCGAGGATCGATCCGAGGTCTCTGACAGTACAAATCCTCCCAGATCAAACAAAAAAAAAAAAAAAAAAAAAAGAGGTGACCTTGACTCAAGAGTCTATGACGTGACCATTTCTTAATCGGGGAACTCTGTGCCTTTTCTTTCTTTCTTTCTTTTTTTTTTTTCCCTTTGGAGTGGACATGGGCTAGACCAGTCTAGAATACATCCTGTTTTTGTTCTTCTGTTCTTCCGTTCTTCTGTATTCTCTTTTGCATTCTCTCGACTCTCCCTCTCTCTTTCTCTCCCGTTTATCCCGTTTGTTCCGTTTGTCCCGTTTGTCCCGTTTGTCCCGTTCCCGTTCCATCGAAGCTTAGCTCAGAATACTTACTACATTCGGAAATACGTGACGACCTAATGTCTATATTCCCAACTCAAATTGAAACCGTGGGAACTTCTATGACATCGGAGGCACATTCCGACTCCATTCCTCTCAGATCGTTGACTTGACCATGTTGCTATTGATGACATGATGGCAACTTCACTGCACAGTTACAGACCACTTCCCCCTACCAACCCCAAATGGACAGTTATAGTACAATCTACAGAGTATAGAGTACATCTCGGATACTCTCTCATCCAGAGCAGTGAAAGCACCAGAGCTGACCGCCTCGATAGCACTTGTGACCATGTTTGTCGGGTTGGAGTGCACTTTGTTCCTGGTCCTGAGCATTTGGTTCCGTTGTCTTCCGGTGTTGAAGAAACTCCCACGCGCGACGTCGGGGTCGGGTGCCTGCACTTGCGTCTACAGTGGTTGGGAGAGGATGCGACAACTCGCACTGGGGAGCAAGTGCGCCCGATTGGCGTTGGAGTCGAGCTTCGACCACGCGACGGACTAAATCTATCCAGTCATTAGCCGACTACTCTCTTGCTGGTTGACGATGTCATACGAGTAAAGGTCTCCTCGATGTTGACCGTCTCGCGAGCACTGGTCTCCATAAAGCCGCAGCCGTGTTTGCGGGCATATTCAAGTCCGTCCCGGGAGGTCACCGCGCGATCATCCTTGAGATCGCATTTGTTGCCCGCAACGATTTTAACTGGCCGCTCAAGTTGACCTACATCTACCTTCCTAGTCTGATTTCCTATCTGGTGCAGTCGTTCGTTATTCTCGACACGTTGTTCCGCTTCCATATGGACCATGTCCATGAAATGATCTAGCGTTTCAAGACTCGAGGGGTTGGTGATATCGTAAACCAGGAGAAAGGCATCTGAGTTCAAGGTCGAGGCACTCCAGACCCCACGGTACTCCTCCTGGCCAGCAGTATCGGTGATGGAAAGGACGTAGGGGTGGCCATCGACATGGCGGGTGACGGTGTAGGAATCCTCTAGGCCCGATTAGAATTGGGAATCGAATCCGAAATGGGTGCACAGTACCGATAGTGGGATCATATCTAGAAAAGGGAGATATTAGCGTCATCGTCTCCAAAGTTCCAAGGGGACATTCTCACTCGTGAACCCATTGACTACGGACCAGCCGCATGGTGATGGAGGATTTGCCTGAATCCCGATCTGATCAGATCTCGATCGCATGCAACCCGGAAATGTGGCACCGAATCACGGAGGCAGGATTTTCCCAGGAAACAATAAAAGCAACATACCGCATCCACCATCGCCGCAGATAGTGATTGAGATCTTGTCCATGGCGAACGGACATTTGGAGAGGGGAAAAAGAAGTTGACAGGGTGGATGTAGAGAGATATAGGGGGTTATCAATATATAGCCTATTATCTGTACTTTGTGCTTGTTGCTGTCCTTTCTCTTCATACGGAGTACCTCCCTACTCCGTCTATACTCCGCTTACTAGTATAAATTACTATAATTGTCATTGTGATATATCTCATGGAGGTGGTCTTGGGGTTAACAGCCAATTCCATAAGAATATATGGAAATGTAGAAGAAAAAATCCCAAGGATATATATTGTATACATCGAATAAATAGATCGAAAAGATCGAAGCAATCGAATAGATCGAATAGAATAATTAGAAGTAATATGTATAGAATGTATAGAAATATAAGATCAACATGCGGAATGTCAAATCCCCTAAGAGTGGCGAGTACTTCTCCACACATCTTGGACTTTGGAGAGATCAACTCTCTTCTTTTTCCCTCTCTTTTCCTCCCTCTCTCATTCTCACACACTCACATACACTCTTTTTTCTCTCTCTCTCTCTCTAATGACACGTTGATTTTTCTACACGTCCACCTATATTTCGATCGAATTTCCATCTGTTCAGGTCCCGTCATCCCGCGATGGAACTCTGTTTGGGGATATTCTAAATCAATATGGACAGCTTCACCTTGGAATATGACGATGAGCAGGGTTCCTCTTCACAACCCTCGAACCCTTCATATATGCCCGCCTTTTCCAACGGCAATTATACCTTCAGTGCGATCTTACCCCAAGATGCAGATCTACCTCTCACAAACTTCGCACGATCACAGCCTTCGGACCTAGATCAGTCTAATGTCATGCCCACATATGGGATCCCGACCTCGGGTATCTCGATGCCAATGAATATGGATGCCACCAACGCCTATGCCTACCATATTCCAACGACTTACCCGACCACCACCATGGGGATGCCTTCGCAGATCGTTCATTCGCCATTTCAGTCTACATACCCGCCCTTCCCACCCTCCATGACGGCGCCCCATTATTCCCAGCTGCTCGCCCCGCCAACCCGCAAGGAACTATATGATCACACAGACTCGACAACCAATTTCGAGGATTCCGACTTTTCAGGTCGCACGAGCAACTGGCCGCCCGCGCGCCCGCAGGTGCAGGTACAGCGGGTCCAGCGACAACATCCGGAGCGCCGCCTGCCTGCCCAGCCGTACCGTGTATCGCAACCAGTGGCTATCCAGCCCAAGAAGCCCATTACTGCCAAAAGTGAGTTGTGCCTGTGTCCGATACTCTCCGCCGGCTCTGGTCCATGGTATAACTGACGCGGGAACGCGCAAAACAGAGGATATCTCGCCGGGGCTTCAAAGACCCGAGATTGGCAAGACTGAACATACCGGCATCTATTCGACGACTGGCTTTGATGTGCTAGGTGCCTTGGTATGTCTTTTTTATCCCCACGGAGAGAGTATCTGGACGATATAATAACCTTGTTCAGGGTCGTGTGGCTATGCGGCCCAACCCTAAAATTAACATTGGCGCAGTTGATCTCTCATGCGCCTTTGTGATGTGTGATATCTTGATCGAGGATCATCCAATTGTCTATGTGTCAGAGGCCTTTGAACGATTGACCGGTTATACCAAAGATGAAATCGTTGGCCAGAATTGTCGATTTCTTCAAGCACCAGACGGCAAGATGAACGCTGGCACCAAGCGGACCTTTGTCGATGGACAGACCGTCCATCGGCTACGCTCAACCATCAACGACCGCAGTGAGATCCAGGCTAGTATAATCAACTACCGCAAGGGTGGACAGCCCTTCATGAATCTCATCACCATGATCCCCATCCAGTGGGATTCAGATGTGTATCGGTACTATGTCGGATTCCAGGTCGATCTGGTTGAAAAGCCCGATGCTGTGAGGGGAAGAAATCCTGGTATGCTTTGCTGTATTCCTCGTAACGAGTGTGCCCTCCAAGCTGACATTTTACAGATGGTAATTATAGCATTAACTATCAGCGCGATCAGCTGCCACAGTATATAGTTCCGCCACCAGAGATTTATTCCTCGCGACCAGACCTCGGTTTACGATATGGTCATGACGAAGTGACTACCATTCTCAACGCCATGAGTGCGGCTGGCAATGATGTCAACCGGCACTACCTCGATCGCATTTTGGTTGAGAACACCGACGATGTGATCCACGTGCTTTCATTCAACGGTGAATTCCTGTATCTGTCGCCCTCTTGCAAGAAGATTCTAGAGTACGACCCGGTCGAGCTGATCGGCAAGACCCTATCCACCATCTGCCACCCCAGTGATATTGGTCCAGTCATCCGTGACTTGCGGGCGAGCACGACAACAGCTCCAGTGAGTGTCGTGTATCGCATCAGGCAAAAGCACAGAGGATATATGTGGTTCGAGAGTCATGGCGCGTGGCACATCGATCCGAACCAGGGCCGGAGGCATCTTGTCATGACTGGCCGCCCACGACCCGTTTACAGCTTGGATCAGATTGCTCGCCTGGGCTCATCCGCCGCGCTCGCCGAGAATGACGTTTGGGCCAAAATTTCTTTGTCTGGAGTCATTCTGTTCGTTACGAGCAAGGTGAAGCCAGTGCTCGGTCGCTCGCCTGACGATCTCATCGGTAAAGGCATTCAAGAGATCATGGAACCCGAGACTGGTGGCACCGCTACGATCACACAAGCCCTGGAGGTAGCCTGTCGAGGACAAGGAGCTGGCATGGCCACCGTTACAGGTGGCAAAGAGACGGATGAACCCCCTCATTCAAACACCAGATGTGGCATAAGAAAGGCCACGCCCTATTAGCACATACCACATTGTACACCGGCGACGCAGAGAAGGGAATCAAACCAACCTTCCTCGTCGCCCAGATTCGATTTGCTCGGTCTTTCTCTCCATCCGCCACCGCAATCTCAGCCGCCGAAGACAAAAGTCTCGGTATGCTCACCGGAACCGCACGCAACGCAACGCTCACAGTTGATGACCCAGCCCCGCCCCGCCAGTACGGCGCTCTTGGCCAACGCATGCCCGATCTATCAAATCTCATCGGCCTCAACGGTCTACCCACTGGCAACCGCAGCATTTCACCCTCTGATTATCCAGCAACCTTCTTCACAGAGCTCAATCCCACACGCGGATCGAGCTGGCAGATCGAGCTACGTGAGCTAGAAAAGCAGAATCGCACTCTGGCCGATGAATTGCAACGCCTATTGGCTCGTCGTAGGAAGCGCAAGCGCAAGCAAAGCGCTATGGCAGTCGAGAAATTTTGCGCTATGTGCAGCACAAAGAACACCCCCGAGTGGCGGCGTGGTCCGAGTGGAAACCGGGATCTTTGCAATAGCTGCGGTCTGCGGTGGGCGAAGCAAGTCCGTAGCCAGGCGCAGGCGCAGGCTGCGGCTTCTTCATCTGTTATAGTTGACTGATGTTGAGTAGATCAACTTTGTGAGTCGCTGGCTCATGTGTTTTTTTTTTTTTTTTTTTTTTTTTTTCCGAAATTGATATCCTCCGCTTGGAGGGCTGGTTTCTTGATACCCCTTCCGTTTGACCGTCGAGATTCCCATGTGGTACCATGTGGTACATTTGAGCGTCTGGACTCTTATTTCGTACGCGTCTTGTTTTGATAGTCTTATAAATTGAATCTAGATGAATTATACTAGGCCAAGACCGTAGGCTCTATGGCTCTTAATGATAGCCAAACACAGCTCTTTCATGAGTTGAAATGTTAGATATAATACAAAAGATCTCCAAGGAACATCTACAGTGCACGGAGAGACCTCTAGTCTAGCTTTTTTGAAAAAACCCTTACAGCTTCTTGGACTTGGGAGTGTTTCCACGAACAGTCAACCACTGCTCCAACCAGCGCCTCTCCAATTCCTCCACCCGTCTCCGGTCTTGAGTACCAGAAGACACGTCTAGACCACCACGTTCCTCAACCGCAATCCGCACCTCGGTAGCATTCATGGCCGAAACTCCTTTACCAGCACGAATCATTTCATCGTCAATAGCCAGGTACTCGACGTACCGCGCCAACCGAGGCCGGTAAATCAAACCAGCAAGCGACTCGCCCGCAGTCTTGTCATGACGTTTAACCAGACCAAAAACAGCACAGGCACGCAAGACATCAGCGGAGCTCGCACCGGCGACCCAGACAGGGTCAGCAAAAGACCTAGCAAGAAGGGCCAACTGCTTCTCGCTGCCTGCTTTGAGCAAATGCACAGACCGATCTTTATTCTCAGCCACAAACGCATCCAGCGCCGCCAGTTTGCGCACTGTAGCCGCAACTCGTTCCTTCTCCACCTGTGAGGGCACACGACACGTCGCGGGCGTAATGGCAGAGCCGAAAATCGGGACGATCAGGGGTGTGAACTCGCCGCAGACGATCAGGATTAAAGTGAAGGGAATCATGCGGCGGACATCACGAGCTGAGCGGCGGACGAGCTGGAACTGCGCGCGGCCGAGCTTGGATTCTTGTGTTATGGATGGCGCGCCGCGGTTGTTGTGTGTGCTTGTCCGCGGCGGTGATACAGGTATATAGGCGGGTAGGCCTAGTTTTCTCCGTAGAGGGAGTGAGGCACGATAGTTGTGATAGACATGTTTCAAGCCCGTCTTGTAGAAAGTCACATATGCGCGGCCGAATTCGACGTAACGTTTTAGTTTATCTGCTGCGCCTGCGGAGGGGTTTAAGGGGGGTGGGGTTGTGAGAGGGGCAGGATGAGTGCTGGTTGGGGCATTTATTTCCGTTTTGGAGGGAATTGAGACGGTTGTTGTAGGGGGTGGTGACGGGGAGGCTCGGCGAAATTGCTGGTTCGGAGCGGAGGTTGAGAAGAGCTGGGATTGCGCGCAAATGGGCAGTTGAGATTGGGGGTGGAAATACAAGTGATTCCAAGACTGGAATCGAGTATGGAGGACTCGTTGGCCCCGAGTTATGCCAGCCATTGTTGAGGTGGTGAGAAAAGATGAATGCAAGGCTGTTTGTTGCACATGTTTATCAGCGATCGACACCTTAGGCATCAATATCAAGATACACACTCGACGTTCAGGGATTAAGAGCGTCGGTGTATCACCTACGACACCACTATAGTACTGGAAGCTAAGAGTCTGATCGTCATATACCTCTCGTCGTTCCAAGTGGATTGAAGAAAAAAACGGAATTCGTAATGCTCTATATATGCTCGAAATATTTTGTAGAGTAATGTACATCTTGAATCCAAGACAAGATCTATTCCTCTCCGCGGACCTCAATGTTTTCAATGAGTCCATTGCCCAACCGCGCAATCTCATTGAGAATGGCAGTCTGATTGATCACGACTTCACCCTCCGTGTCACCTGGGGCGGTCGAATACGCCGTCTTCAGGTTCCAGGTTCGCGACTTCAGGGTCTGCGGGTTCCATAGGCCAGCAATCACCGCACAACGATCGTCTCCATGGAAGAGTAGAATACTCTGGCTGTAGCAGGCTTGGACATCACAGACAAACGACTTGATGGTCTGCATCATTCCAAGACGGGGTTCGGCCAAGTTCTTGTACTTGGGTGCCGAGGAACTGCCAAAGAGCTTTGGGCGAAGATGAATGACAAAATCATATGGAGCAAGCGAGGTATCAAACAGCTCGGAAACATCCATATCGTGGGTCTTGCTTCGTAGTAGGCTCACTGCTGCTTTGGCCAGGCTGGACATACGAGCAGCCACAACCTTGGAGGGCATCTCGTATTGGGTCCAGGTCACTCCTTCAGTATCGAGGTCGGAGGCGACGAAAAGGGCCAGACTGTTCATCGCAGGGTCGATACTGCGCCAGGCTGTGAAGCGAGTGCGAATATTTTCCGTCACTTGTGGGGTCAGTTCACCTCCCAGGTCAACAACGAATGGCTCCTGCTGCCAATCCCACCGAGAGAGGGAATGCAGAGTCCTCAGGAATCCGGTCATGACAGACGAAGGACATTCCCAGGGGTTAGGTTGGGTGAAGGTGCGAATTACCAGCAATTCAATCAGCTCGTCGCTGATTTGGGCAGTGAATAGGTGAGAATTAAACCATAATTTGGTAAGACGAATGGTGGGCGACAACAAGGGGAATCGTGTGCACAGACTTCGGAGTGCCTGTGTCAAGCGTGGAGTTTGGACAAACGTTTTCTTGTAGGCGAAGAGGGCATAGGCAGCCTCTTCTCGTTCCCGGGGACTTAGATTTCGGTCCTTGAGATTGCGCTCGAGTAAAGTTTGTTCACGCTCGTGGTGAATCCTCAACCGGAACAACACGCCAGAGGAATGGGAGATTTCCAAAAACGCATTGTTGATCACCTTGCTCGATTCGTTTTCGAGGCCTACACGGCAAGACGAGGCAGCACCCGATGATTCCAGAGAGTCTCCAATCTTTAATAGGAACGCGACCTTGGTCATTTGGATAGCGGCGAAGTCATCGGGCCATCGTGAGGAGCTTTCAAACTGAAGAACAACGTCGGTGGCTCCCGTTGGCCGGAGAGAGGTATAACGAAGAAGCGAACTGGCCGGGGCCAAGTGACGAACCTCCAGTGGCACTTCATCCATGCCACGAATAGACTTCTCAAGTTCCTTAAACGCATCGTTGATTGACTGGAAAGCAGGGCTAGAGTATGCCAGAATGCCATCGCCATTCTCTTTGAGAAGCTCGTCGTATTCATCACCAACGAATTCGAAATCATCAGTGGTGATCTTGAAGTGCCGTTGGAGTATGTACTCTAGAATCTGATAGAGGATAGATGTCTCCGATTCATCAGACCACACAAGACTTTCCAGGATGCTGCCATCCTTGAATCGTCGAAGCTCCGACTTTTCACCCCAGAACGCTTGGAACGAAGCAGACTCTTCTTTTTCTTCCGCAGCCGGACCGTGGTCGACAATTCGTCCGACATTTTCAGCATTCAACAACAGTCCTACAGAGACACCTTCGCTCGAACGTTTGGGCTGCTTGGATTTGACTGACCACGGGCCAATGGCGTGGCTCACTATAGAGACAAGTTTGACTCTGTCTCCTAGAGACCGGGAAAGAACATTAAACAAAGCATGCTGTTCGCGAAGAGCCCGAAGCGTGTCTCCATTAAATGACTTGGGGAATGAGATCAAGCGGTCAAATCTGAGGGCTGGTTCGTTAACCTTTAGAATGAAAACATTATCGAAGTTGTCCTCTCGTGATTCATTGAGCATCTTGAGGGTGATGGCGGCTTCATGACGCAGTGTTGTGTATGACCAAGGCGTCATTTTGTAAAGAATGTTCAACCCTCTGCGGCCATCAAAGACAACAGGCACTCCGGAAGGAACTGGGACCACTTGGCCAAAGAATAGAGGAGTGGTCAAGTCCCTGCCGGCCAAAAACTGGATGGTAGCCTTGAAGATCTGGTAGCAGCTGTATGATGGTAGCAGAATCGGTTGTCCAGCTGGACCACCGCCCTCGAACAGCAAGGACAGGAGGACAGTCCATTCGAAACCACCAAAGCCTCCATTCTGGAAGGGGGTATGGAAGCCACGTTGTTGCAGCCAAGTGCGGCCAAGAATGCAAGCATCGCTAAAAGACTCACACTTCTTGGAGGCAGAGTAGATAGCCTTGTGGTAGAGAGAGACTGTGGCATCTGAACGGAGGCTGGCATTGTAATACGAGGTCGGTTCGCCGATCTCCGAGTTATTCGAGCCCTGGCGAATATTGCTTTTCATGGGAAGCGTCCTTGTAATCGGGAACAACGTGGGGTCGATTGCGGTCAGAATTCGGATTGTAGGCTTAGACGATTCGGTTTTACGCGGTTCCAAAAAGATGAGAGGACGGAGACTGTCTCCATCTTGAAGGGCAAATTTGAGATCAAACCCGAGGGTGTTTGCGGTGTCTTGAATTCCAGCGGCCACGCACGCGATATAGTAGGCTCGCTTGTGGAAGTATCTGAAGTTGACATAATCCTTCTCCTGGAAGAGCGAGCTTGGCATGGTGACTGCCAGATCAATTGGGCGCGACTCCAAAGTGCGGGCACCTGTCTTTAGCGCAAAGCTACCTACCACGTTGATATTCGCTGGCTTTGCATATGCCATGCTGTACTTCACATCCTTGCTCGGCCGAGGCTCAGGCCATGGAACCGCCAGCCCAGAAGCACGTAGCTCCTTCTCGACATCGGGGACAGATTGCGGAGACTTTTCGGGCAGGCCTTCAATGGCAGTTTTGATCTGGTGTAATGTTTCTTGGACATTTGAGACTTGCTTGCTGTAATTAGGTCTCAATCCTGCCAGCAGATCGTCCATCTGCAGCTTGAAGAAACTGGACTTGTAAAAGCCGCTGGCCATTGCAAGCTCTGCGGAACGCTCATCTTTGCCTCGAGTCGGGTTTCGCTTCTCGGTCACTTTCGATGTCTGTTTCGTTGAAGAGCTAGTAGCAGCATTCTCCGGGGAAGGACTGAGCTTTCTGCGTTTGGATGTGTGGTCCGACATTTCGTAGGCGTAGCAGTTGTTACTGTAGAGGCCGAGATTTTTTTTTGAGCGATAACGGTATTGTATCTGGTACTGTATTGCTGACTCACTCGTAATTTATCAGGTACCCGGAGCATCGCCGAAATCGCAGTGGAGAGAGCTATGGCATCATTAATAACCTTAGAACCTCTCTTTTTTTCTCTCTCTTTCTTTCTCGTTTTGAAACAAGTATTCTGATCGAGATTGTTTTTGCCTCTTGATTTCTAATTTCAATTGAAAATGTTGCAGGGTTTGGGAGGACCTGTGCCTCCAAACACTGACCATGTATGATTAACTCCTTGCAACCCCTCCATGACTCTTCTAACATTTACAAGGCCGTCAGTGTATCGCTTCCGACGTGGCGGGAAAATGTCGGCTACGAAGAGGGGGAAGATTGGGTTATAAAGAAGATGCAATGTGGTTATCCTCGATTCTTCGTTCATCCTATTATTCAAAAGCTCGCCCAGGAGATTGTTCGCCGAGTTGGTGACCCCAACCTCGAGTCTGCAACCCTATTCGCATCCGTGAAGGCAGCGCACATCTGTCACTCCTTTTTGCTTAGCAAGATCCCCGCAGACCAGGCATACAAAACACGGATTGTCAACTTCGTCCCATCACCACATACCGAAGCCGGATCAACGGTGACGTCTTCCCTGTCGTGTGTCATTTACCCAAAAGAATTCGCATCCATTACCAAACAAGTATGGCAACACTCGGGCAATGGCATCTCCAGTCGACGAGGTGAGTTCTGCCTTGGAGCATTGGAGGATGGGTTCTTGGTGGAAGACAAAGGTTTTGCTACTGCGGAGTCAATCTCGCAGCGACCTTGCAAGGGGCCCCGCAGATACCAAAGCATCAGTGGAGCTAGAAAAGGCTCTGTTGGGGAATCTCCTCCCAAATCAAACACCGAAGACGGTCGAGACTATGCTCAATTTATTGAGGAGAGGTTTGGCCGAAACCTCAGCACTTCTCTCGCCAACCAAGCCAAGCTAGCTGTTCGCAAACGTATTGCGGGTGTCCTGACAGCTGATGCTGAACTACCAGAGGCCTTAGAGGCAGCTTCATCGGAAGGGCGAGTCGCCGGCATTTCTGAAGATGATGTCCTTCTTTACCCTTCGGGCATGAGCGCCATCTTTCATGCGCACCAAGCCTTGCTGGCTACTAGAGGTGATTTGCCGTCAATCTGTTTCGGGTTCCCATACACGGATACATTGAAGATCCTTCAAAAGTGGGGACCAGGTTGCGTATTCTATGGTCACGGCTCCTCGGAAGATCTGGATGATCTAGAATCTCGACTGAAGGCGGGTGAGCGTTTCCTTGGGCTTTTTACGGAGGCACCAGGTAACCCTCTGCTCAAAACACCGGACCTCAAACGGATTCGCGCTTTGGCAGACCAGTATGGCTTTGCCGTGGTGGTTGACGAAACCATCAGCAACTTTTTGAACATCAACGTCTTGCCCCTAGCAGACATAGTTGTCAGCAG